GTACTCTATGAAATGCTGTATCAATTGTCCAGCACCGGCAGGTCCCTATTTTCTTGTTATACTTGTATCTATCATAATTCCCCGTCGAACTCATTGGCAGCATTATATAACCGTCGATCGTCCTTGTTCTAGCCTTTCATGTTTGTGACTGGATCGAAACTGCACATCATTCGATCACCAATGGAAAAGCAGAAACAGGACTCACCAGTGTATTGCTATGTGCAAATTTACCGGCCTCCTCTGTGGGGCTCATCGCCAGGATTATAGCAGATTTGAGCACCAGTCGGCTGATATTACAAGGCGCAAAGGGTGTGCCATCAGGTGAAATTTTGAAAACGCAAACTACTACTACTCACAATGAGAACGCAGGTACTCTCTTCATTGCAGCAGTCCACGGTCTTTGTGCAACTCTCGCCATCTGGCTGACACGCACCGACAGACATTATAGATGTTGTCAGCGCAATAATAACGGTGAGGAAAGAGAAGCGCATTGTTTGTGCGGGATGGTGTGAAGTACTCCAATAATTTCTTTGGGGTGAAGATGACTTCCTCTTTATACTGGTGAAAAAATAACGCTTAGTGTTTTAGCCAGCGTCATCATGATTTGGGCGTCCGCCGTCCGGTCATTACGTGAGAAGCTGAGCTAGTCTCTTGCCCGCTGCCAGCAGAAATATTACGGCGTTCCATATCACAACTTGATTTGAATGTAGGACCCATGGGAACGTCTCATGTCAATCAACAAATTTCACCCCACTCATTTACTTGTATGCTATATCGAGCCATTTATTGATAATGACCAGACTTGAAACCCCCTCAGGACTAGTATTCCCCAACCTTCTACGTCAGAGGATGTTATATTAACTATATCATTCAATCTAGAAGTTCGCGCATAGGATTCGTACTGGCTCTTTGGCTCTTGCCGACTGAAATCCTCTCGTACATGTTCGTTTACTGTCTCCCAGAAGACGAGTACTCGTACATCTCGCCGCCAGTAAATGGGATTATGCAGTGGTCAGGCAACGGCCAGTCTTGCCGATCCTATACTTCCCCTCTCCGGCTCTTCAAATCGGCTCGATCACCAGAGACCATGTCACAGCGACATGCTCCAAGCCAAACAAGCAACGTATCTGCCGACGCAGGCGGGGATGCCAAATTCCATACGGAAAATATGTAATGGTGGCTCGAGTGATGTTGCTTCTTGGGACTGTAGAGCAATTCACGCCATACAGTTCTAAGAAGCAATAGAAGCAAGCCAGAGTGGTCTGAAATCGGTAGCAACCTGTATTGAATTGCTCACTTTTCTCTCTGAGTAGCGGTCAGACCAAGGCCAACATCATTACGTGGGGTGGTCTCGTACACCAGATGCAGACAAATGGTACATCTGTCACCGATTGCGCCAGTGTGTGGGCACCGCTACATATTAGACGCTTGAAATTCTAACATCAATTTGTAATTTCAAGTCCGCAATGCCGATTCTTTTTCATGTCTTGTACCTATGAATCATGATGCATGTTAAACCTACGTATACAGGAGTGGGTCCATGTGTGCTCCCGATGAGTGAGTCTATTATTAGCTCGCCCTGGGCTATGTTTATCTATACCAAATGGGTCATCGATTTAATCAAGTCCTTCGATGCCTGCAGGCTGCGATCCTTAGAACCACGAGCACTAGGTGTAGCTGTAGTTATGGGCTGAAAATATAAGAGAACACGGCCATCCATTGGTCCAGTTGTCATGTGACCTGCTCAAATCATGGAAACGCTTACGTGTTCATGATCCCTGATAACAAAGATCTATTGACTCGTATGTTGTTACCCCCCATTGCAATCGATATGGACGGCTATCAGAACTTCGAGAATTGGCATGACGAGGTACGTGGACGCAGAATCACCTCACTTGAGTCTGACATTGACTCCATTGGGCAATGGCTACCAGCCCGCAGTGCAGAAATGGCTCGAGGAGCTCTGTCGAACGCACTCAATCCAGCCTCCTGACTATAACTTCCCATTGGGCGCGCGTTTTCGCCCGTCATATGCAACCGCCAGACCGCAGCAGGATAATGCAGCGATTGTAGCACTCGCCGGTGCAGTGCAAGAAATGAGCAAGCATCTTGTTATTCCCCCACCCCCACCTGTGGCTCTTGCGCTCCCCGCTGCGCCACCCTCTGAATTCGCACGCTCTCTTGAAGTCCTCAGTGCGGCCACCAACATATCAGATGAAGATAAGTTGGAGATGATGCTGTTGTTCTTAAAGAACAAAGACGAGGCCATCGTATATCTCCACATGAACAATCGGTTGAGGGCTCCTTGGGTGCAGAGGAGGCTGGGCGAAATGAGGATTCATGGTGCATGATTTATGAGACCCCATTTGTATTTCCGTTCTTACGTCTTCCTATTCCCATGTTTTTTCCCCTTTGGTAGTCAGAACTTCAAAGCTTAATAATATCGGTGCGATATACAGTGTACTGCTACGTACTACGTCATCTCGAATAACCAGTTTGTTTTTCAAACTTTCGTTAAGCCATAACTTTGCAGTAGTAAATTTTACAATAGGTTGACAGTCGGTAAACCTTGTACATACATGGCAAGTTACAAGATACAACATCGTGACGTACAATGAGGTGGAAGACAAGATGACAACAAAAGGACAACACGACTTACAAGTACAACTGACAAAATAACTGTTGCGACTTCACTTCGTACCACCTGCCCCCTGCCGTGTCAGATGCATTAAAAAGCCATTAAGCATAGCTTTTGCATAAGGCCTTTCTCCTCGGGAAACACTCTCAAGGATCTGATCCAGACGACTTGATACTTCGGGTGTGCTGCGGAACTCTATCAGGAGCTCTAGTTCCATTTTCTCGATATCAGGGTACCTGTGGTGATCAAGGGTCAGCGATGATCATGGCGTAGAACAAGAAAGGCGTACTGAGCTGTAAACCATGAAAATGCCTCATCCAATATATTTTTCGAAGATAAATTGGATTTGATTGCCTGGCACGCCAGAGCTTCCAAACGTGTGTTCTTGAGCTTCGGAATTCTTGTTAATTTGTGTGCCAGATAAGACGCGAGACACACAAACCTTAGAGGCAAGTCGGTACATCGACTTGGGAGAACAGCGTAAAGTTTGAGTTGTGTTGTTGCGCCGGCTGAGCGGATCTTTGGACTTCAGGGGGTGGAAAGAAATTTGGCCAGTGTAGCAATAGTATACGTAGGATGCCCAGCTGCACGAACAGTTTGAGTCATTTTGAGCTAGTCAGAAAATGTAGCTTACGTTGTGAATGCCGTGTTCTGAACCAACACTATTCGCTGTGTCGGAGAAAAGGGTTGAGGCAGTGGCTCAGCCCTCAGTGTGTCCGTCGAGCGGAAACCTGGAGGCCGTGTAGCCGCCAATGCCGCCCAGATGCCGTCTAAGTAGTAGACTCAACATGAGAGATCACCTCAGGCGCACGGAGAAGGAGACAGACTCACTGTCATCATCCGAACTTAAAGCACTGCTATCGGAAGTGGTATCACTGAATGTATCACTAAAATCATCCGACTCATGCTCGTAATGTCCCGGGGCAGCAAAATAGCTCTGGCTATAACGATAAGGAGGGGGCTGGCTAGGCACTCCTTGTGCTTTTCCCTTCGCTTTCATTTTCGTTTTCGCTTTCTCCTTCGTCATGGTCTTCGTCTTAGTTTTCTCTTTCACTTCTTCTTCCTCCGAGTCGATGTCGCTGTCGAGGTAATAATCATATCGCTCAGTGGTGTCCATCATCAGCCTATTTTCGCTGTCGTAGTGAACGAGTAAAGAATTTTTTTTGATACATGCTAAAAGTTAGGTTCATTACTATTGCTCGTCCAGGTAAGATAAGAGATCACCCACAAGGGAGAACTGACGCGACGCTGGCGCCGTGGTCTAAAACTGCACTATTCGCATATACAAAACGAGTTTCTCCTGAAGACTTCCAAGTTGCACGCTTGGACATGGCATAGTACTTGGTGTCGATGAATTCGCCGTTGTTCATGGACTGCCTAAGAGCAGATGCAGTATTAATGAGGGGGTCAGCGATAACTGGAGCAAAGTTTGCTTTCGTAGCGACCGTAAACCACATATAAGGGTGTGCAGCAATAACGGACGGCGAGAACGAGCCAATTAGCGCGGGGGGACCGTGGCCAAAATCAGCAATCGAGACCATTCTGCTGTCAAAAGAAGGAACCTCTGGAGTAGACCCATCTTTAAGGCAGACAGTCACCGTGGCGGCGTCTGTCGCCGACGGTGAACAATGGGTATGATCGAGGTAAACCTTCACTTTGGCAAAAGACCAGCCTTCTTGAGAGTACTGCAGCCCAAAACGCCACCCCAAACCAAACTTTTCGCTGTAAACTATGGTTGAACCCCCTTGTAGGCATTTGGCAAGGCGTTCTTCCTTAGTTTCCAACTGGAAGATTGATGTAACTGAGTCAGATACCTTCTGCATGGTGGATGAAGACAACGAGAGGATGCTTAGGCGCCTCTCTGACCAGTCTCTTATCTGCAAGGCAGTGTAGTGTGACGGGACGCCTCTATATTTAGGAGTTAACTGACAATAATTGGATCCCGTAACTCTAGACCGCTAACAGTGAGCAGGTTTCCAATTTTGACCCGAACATGTTGGAGTCAGACGGACATGGTAATAGTACGAGCACAGGCTGACTAAGATAAAGCACGTTGAATTCTAGCTATTTGAATTTGAATTGGCCATCTACGCTCACACAAGCAGACACAAGCTCAGGTAACTAGGTTCCTCGATGGCTCAACTACCAATGAAACAAAACGTCCAGCGAATCCAATCAAACGTCCGAAATTAAAGCAAAGCTTGCAAACTTGTTGCTAATAGGTGCACATAAGTGTCTGAAGACTTATATGCCACCCTATCAGAAGGAACGGCATTCAGAGACCTTATACGTCGTTTGTACTCTCCCCAAATACGTCCCGCCAGCCGAATACTATGCACGTGCCATGCCTGCGCTAATCGTGACAACACCTTAGGTTCTATCGTCATACTATCCAGCTGCGGGGGTAAGGCACCCGCATTACCAGATGCAATGTTGCCCATATCATGAGACTGTGGGGGTAATACACCCACTTCTGTCTCAGTCATGTTGCCCACAATACGTGCAAGTGGGGGTAGCACACCCATGTAAAAACGCGTCCGATATTGTGGCCAAAGCCCCGTGTCGTCAGAAAACAGGCGCTGAGTTGCTCGTTCCAAGACTTCTCGCACACGATCGGCAGCCTTGCCCTCGAGTAACGAGGAGATCTCATCACAGAGCTGCATGCTATGCGCACGACGGATAGCCAAGAAGGCCAGGCAGTGAGCAAAAATATAGTGAACGCTCTCAAAGGCATCACAACCGAAATGACACCAGGGCGGCATATCACGAAAACGCCGATGCCGCACCTCTGCGGTATCAAGTTGTGATGACCGGGCATACAATTGTACGACGGCAGAGAAGGAGCTAGATGCTCGAGTGTATGGGAAGTCTGGCAGGCGATGACTGTCATACAGTGCAAGAGTCAGCGCTCACGCTGGACAAAAGGAGTTGCTCAACGCATAAGAGTCTTCCAGCCTAGAAATGAGGAAAGAGGACAAGTTGTTTTCAACAAAACCATAACCGGATGCAAACATAGCGTAGACTGCATAGTCATCCATTGAGAAAGTTGCCAGGGGCGCAGAGGGAATAACACCACGCCGTTCTTGCGCAAACCAGGCCATCCAATCAACATAATCGTTGGCGAGACATTCTGGCGTCAGGCCGTTGATATGAGCAACGGTCCAGACGAGTGAGGGCGCGCTAGGGATCCGCACGGGTGAACCCCCGGGTGTCGGCAGGTCAACCCGCACCCGCACCCCGAGGTAAACCCACACCCGCAGCAAGGGTACGGGTTGCACAGTGGGTAGCGAAGTAAGGACCCGGGGTACAACCCATCAAGGGTGTACCCGCGGGTCATAGATCCGCCAGTGCTTAGCACATATGTCCAGCACACATCAGCGAATGCTGACGTGACTCGAACATATGTGGATGGCACAAGAAGGAGGAGGGGCGCGCGCTGGGCATTCGCGCATGGCATCCGTCGCGTTGGGAATGGCGTAGTGGTCGTTGGTGATGGTGTCGCTGGGGTATGCGCTAGTGCCGGCGCGAATGACAAAGATGGTGGTGCGAATGATGGCGAAGGTGACGCGGATGGTGGTGTTGGCGTCGTGGATGGTGGCGTTGGCATGAAAGCTGGTGGTGGTGCGAGTGCTGGGCGCACAAAGATAGGCACCGGCGACGTGACGCGTATGACGTCGTTGTTGTTGCTGGGGGTAGAGTCTTCAATGTGAGTACTCACTTCCAGCGTGCCCAAAGTCTCGTCTCCTCGAGTTCCTCTTTCCTCCTTCATCTCTATACCATCCCTTCTCCCTTCTTCGATTCTCTTGTCCTTTCGTCTTCGCGTGTCGTCCGCGTGCGTTTGCATCGCGTCAACACTTGTTGATGCGTTTCGGGCGCGCGCGCTGTGAACGTGGAGTTGGTGGAGTTGGGAAGGCGCGTTAGGTGCCGGTGTTGGTGGTGGTGCCGGTTGTAGCGTGCACGCGGGAATGCTGGGTGCGAAGATGTTGATAGTGGCGTGGTGAGCGAAGACGTTGATGACGGTTGCAGTTGAGGAGTGTGCGAGGACGAGAGGTAAAATTACCGAAGGCACGGGTATAGCTGGGGTACGGGTAAGAGCGCGGGTCTTAGAATCCCGACCCGTACCCGTACCCCAGTAGTACCCGTACCCGTGACCCGCGCGGGTTACCCGTACCCGTGCAGATCCCTAGGGCGCGCACATAGTACAGTAACTTATACCCGTATTAGACGGACAGCTGAGGGTGACAATGTACCTATACCGGCAGGCCAGCCCATGTGGGCCCATGGCAATAAGTGTACCGTGGTAGACGGGTGGGCTGAGGGTGGTGTGTACCTGATGCAACCGGATGGGCTGGTGGTATATAGTGTAGATGATTATATAGGAATGTACTATATGAATAGCAGTGAATATAGTGTGCGATGGAGACGAGTGGGCTGGAGGAATGTGGTGCAATGTAAATGAGTGGGCCAGAGAGATGGGTGTGATGGAGACGGGTGGGCTGGGTGTTAGGGTGCAATGGGAGACAAGTGGGCCAGTACCTGAGGTGCACAACATGAATGGGTGGGCCGGTACCTGAGGTACACAATGCAGACAGGTGGGCTGGTACCTGAGGTGCACAATATGGATGGGTGGGCCGGTACCTGAGGTGCACAACGCAGACGGGTGGGCCGGTACCTGAGGTGTACAACACAGACAGGTGGGCCAGGTACCCGAGGTGCACAACGCAGATGGGTGGGCCGGTATGATATCACATCTGGTAAAAAAGGAAATACCATCCGGTATAACGTATACTAACCGACAGTGCTCATCCGGTACGTCTGGGATACACATCCGGTATGGCTTAAATACTCACCCAGTGCATACAAGCTTTATGAAGGAAATATCATCCGGTACAGCAACATTCTTACCACTGAAATTCAGGTTATCCAAGTCAACTGTTCAATTACATGATGAAGCACGCGAAGTTGACATCGCAATTTAGACCACTAGTACATACAAGAACATGAATGATATATACTAGTATTACTTGGGCCCATCACCGGAAGGCTTCCTAGAATGCTTAGCGCTCACTGACCGACCTTGGTGTGATAGAGGTCCATATCGTGGGCATGACAAAGGAGCCGAGATGGACTGCCCATCATCCGGCACATTTGATGGCACGGCGACAGATGTATCTAGGGTACCAGTGGAAGGCATGGGCGGCACCGGTAGAATAGGAGACTGGCACAGGTTGTGCACCAACTGGAGGAACAGACGGACCGGATGCCTTCATGGTCAGTGATGGGATGATGGTGGTGGTGGATGGCACCTGGTCATGCCTTGCGACCGGTGAGCCATCTGTTGCATCACCCAACATATCACCACCGGTCTGGGCACTCCTCCAAGATGCGTCCGGAGTAAATACATTGTTGGTCACAGTGCGGGCAAACACACTAATGGATGGGTTGGGGGCTGTAATGGAGGGTGGATTGAATGCTGGTGGACTGGACATTGACATTGACGCTTGACTGGACCTCTGTTCCCTGAGATACCTGACAATGCCTCTCACTTCAGCGGTGCACTCACTGAGGAGTCCCCGCTGCACACGCACATCTCGCTCTATGTTGTCGATATGCATGGACATGGCATGATCGGACGACTCTGCAAGATGGATACGATGCTCCAGGCGATCATGCCGGATGTCAATCTCCATGCGATCGCTTGTGCGCAGTTCCTCCATATCGATGCAAATTTGGGCCAGCATGGCCTCCATCTGCTCATGAGCGAGAGGGTGTGGGGGTCCGGCAGGCGCGACAGGCGAGGAAGGCTGATAAACTGGAGGGATTGGTGAGAACTGGATGTCGTCCTCTGGGGCCATGACAGGTGATGGAGGTGGTATATCGTCCTCACTGGGTTCCTTCCAATGATCAGAAGGAAAGTCGTCTCCGGATGCCAAAAGGGCCTTTGCTGTTACAGCACCACCGGTACCGGTCATTTGTGGAGCGTCGTCCAGCATCTGCACATCAACATCGACGTTGACGTTGATGTCCTCTTCCTCTGGGATAGGACTAGGATGCTGAATGTTTTTATCTACAAGAACGAATGAGAATATGAAACAACCCAACCGGATCAGAAGACTAGTGATGTGCGGGCCCGGCTCGGCCTGAAAGCCCTGGCTTAGGCTCGGCTTTGGGGGGCTTGGGCTTTGCAAAAGCTCAGGCCGAGCCGTGAGCCCAAGCCAGGCCAAAGCCGTGGCTCGGCTTGGGCTCAACGACGGCTTTCAAGAACAAAATGATCTGAAATTAAATCTAAGCATATGTGTAATGGTGAGATACTAAAAGAACTTCATGAACCGTGTAGGCATGGATGCTGGTATCGTGCGTCTGCCCGTGAGCATGTCTTTGCGCACATGGAAGTACTTGACGTGTGCGAGGATGAGCATCTGTTGTGTTCACCTGTGACTGGGTGCGTGATGTCTATCGATTGGTAGAGCTGTTGAGAGGTGATGTTGTCGGCGATGTTGTCAGCGAGCGAGCGGGCTAGGCGTGAAATGGAATTACCTCGCATTCCTTGCTAAAAGCGCTTTCCTTGACACACGAGGCTCTTATTTGCACCTGAACACGTCATCGTTAGCGGATATATCGTATCATAAACGTGCACACATACTGAGTTTTCTCCGTGAAGCACTTGAGGTTGCTCTTCACAGCGGCCTCCATTATCTTGCGACCAACAAGGGTTGAGCCAGTGAAGGCGACCTTCTCTATCCTCATATGCGAGGAGATGGCATTACCGACAGTGTTTCCGTGACCAGAGATGACATTATCCACCCCGGGTGGGAAGCCAGCCTCATTAATAAGGTGAAGTTTCCATGCCATCATGAGCACTGCGAAGTGAATGAGGGCATGACACTCGAAGCAGCTGATGTGTACGCACATGGGAAATTCCATGGGATGATTTGACCCTATCAGACAAACATCAGAGGATGATCTGGGAGCTGATATACGTGTACTTACGACGACACCAATTGGTTCGTGACGAGTATAGGTGAGCTTGTCTTTGGTGGTCTGCCGGATTGTCAGCGAATGAACAAAGAAATATTGAGGCCGATAAGGGACAAAAAGCTGCGGCCTGAGCTGCCGGCTCAGGCTTTTCAACACCTCAAGCCAGGCCCTGGGCCGTGGTCAGGCCCTGACTTGGGCCCGGCTCGGCTCGGCCTAATCAGGCTCGGCTTTGGCCGGCCCACAGCCTGAAGCCGGGCCGTGCACATCACTACAGAAGACTTACCTTTCCCCTTAGACTTCTTGCTGATCTTCTGTCCAGTGGCCCTGGACCAGGTAGTCTTGGAGTGAGTGGCGATTGGAGTCGAAGTTGGTGCAGTGGTGGCGACAGTTGTGCTTTCTGCACTCTCTGGGTTGCTCCGGATGCATGCCATCTTCCACTGATAGCACAAAGAGCAAGTCAGGGCGATATCGCCTTTCTTCGTCAACCGGGGGTCGCACTCCACATTTTTCAACTGGCATCTGTCACAAGGCGGTAGAGATCCATCAAGGCGGGGCTATGATGTATCAGTGGGGTAGAACATTGCATCCACCGGAGGACTTACCGGTTGTACCTTGCCTTTCTTGATGTTGGCCTTGGCCTTGGGCTGAACGGACTGTATCGTATAATGTTAGCGTCGCATATCACAAATTCAATAAAAATACAATCGTACCAATTTTTGTCGCTTCCCTGGTCTGACACTGGCTTCCTTGTTGTTGTCTTCGTCATCATCAGCATCATCCTCCTCCAACTCGTCCTCTTCATTGTCCTCCATCACAACCGGCTCACTTGGCTTCAATGCAACAGCCTTCTTTTTCGTGGGCTTTCGTGTTGATTTCCGGGGCTTGTGTCCAGCATCAGCCATGTTGAATTTACATGGCAAAAGACTTACCTCAATGTCCGGAAGATCATCCACATTGATGGCCTTGCCATCCTCATCGTCGTCATCTTCCGGTGCCATTGCCTTCCCCTTCCCCTTCCCCTTCCCCTTCCTCCTATCCTTGTCGGTCTCCGTGTCAGTGTCTGACAAGATCTCCTTTGACTTGGGAACACGATTCCGGGGCGGGTTGATACGAGGCACAGGAGGGCTGGTGCTGAGTCATCGTTTGCGTGATTTCGACGGCCCAGCCTGTGCAGTCCCACCGGATGCTGCATGTCTGGGGATGCGAATGCTGAGATGCGAGGTAGGTGCCGGTGCCAGTGTAGGTGCCGGTGCCGGTGCAGGAACCGGTGCAGGTGTAGGAACTGGGGCAGGTGCAGGTGCAGGTGCAGGAACCGGGGCAGGTGCAGGTGCGCGCACCGGGACAGGTGCAGGTGCGCGAACCGGGACAGGTGCAGGTTCAGGAACCTGGACAGGTACTAGTGCAGTAACAGATGTCAGTACAGGTAGGATGACAAGAGGAACACGCTTACCAGCAGCTGCAGGTGGAACCGGAGCATCACCCAATGTCTTACCATACAATGGGTGCTTCATACACATGTCCTCATTGTGACCCAGACGGTTCCAATCCGGTACTTCTACCAATTGTGTTGTGCGCCTCTGAGCACAGAAGATCTCAGCTGCAAGTGACAAAAGGCCAGGGGGAACATAGGTGGCGACCCTTCCATGTGAGCGAATGGCTTCATTCTGTAACTAGTGTCAGTACTGTCAACCAAAAAGACATCAAACATACCACATCGCGAGCAATCTTCCAGCTCAGTTCCATTTTCTCCTCCTGTGAATGCGACCGGAGAACCTGTTGAGCCATCTCATTGAGCCTGGCGACAAGGGCGATAAGAGTCTGGTTGGCGGCGGCAGCAGCAGAAGTGGAGGTAGAGGTAGAGGACATGGTGAGACAATTGAAGTAGAGAGGAAGTTGCAGTAGAGAGGAAGTTGACAAGACACCCGGAAGCGACCTGTACACACTTGTAAAATTTTCAATCACCGGTTGTCCGGCCCGACTCGGATATATCCGCTGAAGGTACAACAATTCAGATGGTGAGTCTGAACAATGTTGGGTCTTGCAGAACCTAGCTGCTATTCGACCCTAAAGGGTTTCTGGACCAGGCTCAAGGCTCAGAGAAGAGGAAATATGATAGAAACTTGCTGAATACTCAGACTCATAGTAGAACTGGTGAAAAGGTAACTTGATTATGTAAGCTACAAAGTGCCAACATAAGGTAAGGTAAAGACAGTCTCTCCAAGCCTAGCCAGAAATGAATCCCTACACCGCGTCCACATTGTTATCACAATCTATTTTTAGTTTTCGAATTCATATTGCGTGTTTGACATGTCATCAGTAATCAATTGTTGCCAGCCGGCCTGTGAGCAAAGTATCCGGTCACCGCGTGTAGTAGAACATCCATTCTTCCGGTGTTCTAATGAAGAGCAGGCATTTAGACAGGCCATTGAAGAAAAGAAAGCGACATATGTGATCATCGGCGATTCCTCAGCATACATTACATTTATCTAGTGAGGATGAAGGTGAGAAACTATCGCCCCCAAGAATGTACCGGTTGACATTATCCGACATGCCAGTATTTGACATCCTGAAACCAGGACAAGAGGAGGGCACTTACAACAACTTGCTGATGGATTGTTCAAGCATGGGCGAATGTGAGGTTTACTTCATATTAAACTATTCTAAAGACAATTGATATTGTCTTGAAGACCTAGATGTCCTCTCCGCTCATGACTGGTTGAAGGATGGTAAAATGTTGATGACGGTACACTTATGAATGCCAGCTGACTGCAAGTCATTGGATTTGGGATTTCCCTTGTCCGATGATGACCAGATGACCACCATCAACAATCAACCAGAGTCAGACATCTTGGACATGGAATTCCCTACATCGTCTGATGATGACCGGTCAAATGATGAGACGTTGGACCTGGGCTTTCCTCCAGAGCCCGACATTGCAGGAGAACCACTTGATTTGGGGTTTGATGTCAACCCTCCACCTCAGCCGGCCGGCACCACAGGTATGTTGCTGGATATATATATGGTAAATTTACTTGCTGATTTAAAACTAAATCTGAATAGACGACGGGGCTCTGGAGATGGGCTTCGACTCGCCGGACATGGGGAATGATGTTCAACTCAAAGAAAACCCTTTAGAGATGGGTTACGAGGTGGATCCGGCACATGATGTTCCGGATCAGTCATGTAAGTTCAGTGTTTTCCTGACGATCATGCACTGTTGATGGTTGAGATTCAGTTGCTGTCAGTCGACCGGATCCCATTGGATTTGTGATTCAAAGGGCTGTAGGTGATTTGCGTGTAGCAATGCACCGGTTGGATATGGACCGGGCTGGTGATACCATGTCGCCGGATGAAGCCTTTGTGATACAGCAAGTTCTTGACTGTGCACAAGAGTTATTGCTGGCGTGCCAACTAATCTCAATATCTCAACTGTTGACGTGAAGTATACATATCCGGTCAAATGTTATCTACACCTGTCTCTAGCATACTTGTGTCCATATATCCCAATGACTACTTGTGCATATAGTTAGCTTTATAAGATGCCTTTTTACTTCTAAGAGAGCGCTTTGGCTCTGGATTGGTAATCTTGGGTTCGGGTCCTTTGGTTTTCCTTCTGGTGGACTTTCTTGGGGAAGGAGGTGTTGGTTTGGGCGCCAGTGGTTTGTTCTTATTCTTCCTGGTCTGCATACCTGATATAGGCCCAAATTCATGACTTTTAGATGCAGGCAGAGGGTCATTAATATGATTACCAGTTGATTGCACAGCACCGGTACCGGTGTTGTCTTCTGACGGTCCCCTTCTACTTGCAGCGAGCTTGGATTTCTTGACCAGTGGCTGACGATCTGACTCTGAATCCGTTTGAATAGGATCAACCCTACCCCGCTTTTTTGTGGGTTTTGGGACCGGCACGGGTTTCTTGACCGGTGGGGGAGGATCTTCGTTATCTGAATCAGATGGAACCGGACTGGCATGGTGGTGCATTTTGGTTGGTTTGGGTTTTGGGACTGGCATGGGTTTCTTGACTGGTGGAGGAGGATCTTCTTGCTCTGAGTCGGATGGAACTGTATGGGCCCGGCGGTGCTTCTTGGTTCATTTTGACTTTGAAGGTGGCGATTGGATATTGTCTTCCACGCCTCCGCCTTCTTCCTTGTCTTCCTCTCTATCCTCCTTATCATTATCATCATCGTTGTCATCATCCTCACTACTCAACTCCTGTTCCATCCTCCTGCTGCGCTTTCCAGTTGACTTTTTCACCGGAACCCTGGGTCTGATGTCAGAATCGTTGCCTGAGATCATCTCCACTGGTTCTCTCATCATCTTATCATCGCCCTCCCAGGCTTTGAATTCAAAGGTTGGGCGAACCTGGTCCTTCTGTCTTTGACGCCACAACTCTAACAGCCGGTCGGCATCCACCAACCGAATCTTTGACGGATCGTCCAGCTGGCAGCCGGTAGGTAAAAACTTGGCCTCAATAAAATCACCCTGTGCCATCCTCACTGAGGACCATGGTACAGATGCCTTTGTTTGTTGGCTGCACAACCCTGACAAATAGCTGGTCGGTGGATTCAACTCTCCAGAAGCATGATGTGTGAAACTTACTGTAGTGTCTTGTGAGGAATGTCCGGATAAGATGCTTTTTACCCTCTAGGTTAAGATCTTCAGCGTCCAGTATGACCGGAAGTCCATAGGTATCCACCTCCAACGGATAATCTTCCTTCTTTCGCCCTTTTTTTCTGCTCTTCTTTACCTCCCCCTCATCATCGTTGTCGTCATCATCATTCAGGTCAACTTCTGGTATCACCCGAAGTCGGATAAGTACTTGACCGAATGACGCCAAGATTTTCAAACAGAAGCTCACCGAACTCTTCTCTGGCATAGGCATTCCACTCTGATAACATGGGCTTCCAGTCCTTTGTATCTGTAAAACTATTGCCTTCTAACTTTTTATTGAAGTCAATTCTTCCAACCGGATCAGTGGATCTGTATTGGTTGAGTGCGAAGTGGAACTCACCCATTGATCCTCACCTCACCTTCCTCTGCTTTCCATGCTGATAATATGAATATTCTCATACCGGCCTGCTTCCATAACTTGGTCGCCAAATCCTTCATCATACCGGGTGCTTTCTTCTTTGCAAAGTCGGCCTGGACACCTGCTGGAGGAGCCTTGTCAGACCACTTGATCGCAGTCTTCTGAGCTTCCTCCAGCTGCTCTTTAGATAGACTGGCCATGACTGCAGTGAGGGTTGTCTGGTATCTTTCAATAAATTTCTTTGATCCTGGCATTGCTCCGGTCTTTTCAATGATCTCCTCCTTGCGCTGTTGTTCTATCACCGACCGGGAAGTCCATTTCTGACCGAACTTGCTGTCTTTTTTTTTGCGAGTCTTTTCAGGTCTTCGGTTATATAACCAGTCCCGGTACACCTAGATACATCATGATAAAAGTCAGACATCATGTATAAAATTCGATGATCAACTGCTCACAAGTTTCCTTTTCTTCAGTAACCGGTCATCCATAGCAGGGGCATGCACCTTGGCCTCTTTTATGACCGCCTTCAAGATCTTTTTTCTATCCTTGGCAGCGGCTTCCTTCCATTCTTCTAGGTGAGATTTTAAGACCAGCACCTCTTCCTCGGTCAATTTCTTCTGCTTTGTCTTTTTTGGGCTGTCTACTGATGAGTTGGACTGGGGCATGGCAAAGCAGTTCAGGAGCAGTTGTGGTCTTGGTAGAAGAAAGGATGCATGTGTATCGCACAGTATTAGGTTACATAACCGATGTATGTGACAGCAAACCAAACAAGAGATTGTCTGCCAGTGAGTCAATACTCGTTGATTGGCATGATTCCCTCAACACCCCATGTGTTTCTGGTACATATAATTTAGAACTGCAAATGCATAAGCATACATACTTAGACCATTATCATATAGTGTATGGGTAGCATACAGCTATACCCTTGAATACTGCATACAGGCCCTGTGCAACCTTACTCCATGACTTGCTCGAGTAAGTACTTTGAAGGCCAGCATGAATGTGGATATAAACAGCCGGTGTCCTGAAGATCAAACAAGAAGTCTGTTTATGTCTATATAATGGGTTATTTGGCTTGAACTGTTGTCTCAGAGCATGTTTCACAATGCCAGTGCCCATCTAATTGAAAGGAGTATATATTACTGCCGAACCCTCTTAATTGACTGAATTACTTCTGAGACCAACACCCCGCAACACTGGCTAAGAAGTATTTGAACCTTGAAATGTAACCTCCGGTCGACATAGGTTTTCAAGTCAATTGTCATCCAACTTGAACATGAAATCCATACCACTCGGGATAATGGAAGGATTACTGTGTTTGATGGATGATGCAACTATGGCAACCTGAGTGACTATAACCTTATATATCCTAATCGGAGGTAATTTGCAAGATCTTTGATGACATCATTATCCTTTATAGTAATATGACATAATTGATCTGAACAACTGGTCCCTTGACGATAATCTGGGTTGTTCAATGACTAACAAGGGAAAATGTGGTAATCTCGACGGTTCAAATCACCCGGAGTCCGGAATTGATGGAAGGCACTGCAGTGAAGTCGTGCCCACAAGTCATCAAGACAGCACACTGATCCTTTCCAGTGGTAGTTTCAATATGGCAAAGGGCAAACAAAAGGGAATCACATACACTCCTCCTATGAAGAAACAATTGCCTCAGCTGTATAAACTCAAAGAAAAAAATACAACCAGAGGATCCAGGTCATCTTGGGTGAAAGATTCATGGGCTCGGAAAACACAGTCGGTAACATCATCACCGACAAAATCTCCCTCGAAGCATAAATCCAGGTCCCCTCACTTGCTCTATGAAGGTGCTGACTTTGACTTTGACCAAGGTGACATCCCCCAGCCTAAATTTCCGAAATCTCAGGCAAGCAGCAGTTATCTTCATTTCCCAGGTCTGACCAGATCATACAGAGTCAGAATACATATCTCCGGCAATGGAAGTGCAAGTTCAAGGACTATATAAACTCACTGATGGTCAGAGAAGCCCCTCCAGCCGACCGACTTTGCTCAGTCTGCAAGAAAGATGGGGTGTATAGATGCCATGGCTGTTTCAATGAGCCACTCTTTTGCACAGACTGTTGCAGAATTTGGCATCAAAGACATCCATTCCATCGCATCAGTCAATGGACCGGATCATTTTTTCAAGAAACTTCACTCATTAAAGTTGGCCTGCACATTCACCTCGCTCACGATGGCACTCCATGTCCCAGCAGCACTGATTACTCATCAGACTTCTTTGAATGGTCAGATACCGATGACAATATAGACGACGATTATCCGGAGGGACCTTTCATTCCACCGGTCAGAGACCCAGATCATCCGGCCATAACTGTAGTAGACAAGTCCGGTGTTCACTCCCTTTCCATATGGTACTGTCACTGCCCTGGTGCTATCAGCCGAGACATGCAGCTGTTCCAGGCTGGCTTGTTCCCAGCATCTTGTACCAGACCAAAAACTGCATTCACATTCTCTGTCTTGGATGACTTTCTGTTAGACAATCTCGAGTGCGGTACATCGGCAATGAATTACTACAGCAAAATTCGCAGACTAACCTCGAGCATCTTTCCACTGATGGTTCTGGTCAGCTGGGTTTCATTTTGTACTTCATGTTCCGGTCATTAAAGAATGATATCCGTAGGATCACTACAGAGAGCTCATGAGAGCTGCCAGACAGTGGCGACAATGCAAGCTTTACAAGTGGCATGGATTTGCCCACAAAGATGACAAGCCAAATGAAGGTGATCTTGCCCTATTTTGCCCTGCATGTCCACAACCAGGGATAAACTTGGACCTGTCTGCTGGTACAGTCGCCCAACCGGACGATACCCCTTCCTGGCTAATGACTAGGTATTTGGTCATGGATGGAAATTTCAAAGCTGAGCACATGCATCTGGTGAATCCATCGGATGAAGTTTCATTGATGGATGGTCTGGGGTTCATGGTCTCCGATGAACGATACAAGAGTCATTTGGCCATTGCCCGAGACCATGTCCAAAGGTCAGATTGTAATAATCACCGGGCCGTCAATCAAGCAAACACCTCCCGGCAAAGGCTGGAAGCCACCGGTATAGGAGGATGTGCATGTGCGCGGCATGGATGTTTTGTCCCACATTCCATGGTGGATTTTCAGAAAGGTGAAAGGTTGGTACATATTTCATCTGGTCACATCAATGGCAGTCTTACAACTCTCACCTGGGATAATTAGACAGATGAACATGGACTATGCATTAAGTCAAGCACTTAACTATAAGACCAACGGAATCTCTCGTGCCATAACTTTCTATGACATAAATTGTCAGTATAACAAGTATTTGAAGGACCGGATCGATTCTAGTATGTATCTTTCCATCCCTGTCGGTATGGATATCATTCCCGGAATCGGCTTGTGGCATGTACATGGACATCAAGATAGCTGCTATGTCCGGTATGCATCAAATTTTATCCACGGGACTGGCAGGATAGATGGAGAGATTATGGAGACCCTCTGGGCGCCTCTGAACATAATCTCCCCATCGGCCAGGGGTATGGGAACTCCACATCGCAAGGAGGTATTGGATTATCAGATGAATGATTGTAACTTCATGAAAATGATTCGTATAAGTAAGTCGCCTACCTCCAGATGTACAAATATTGTCCGGTCTCATATAATGCATTTCCGGTTGGCACCTCCTTTAGCTAAGTTTCTTGCCAGAAAGTTGAAAGAGGCCATCAAGGGTTCTGCGGAGAGCAAACTTGCATTCCAAAATCTTAACGAGATGGCTCATCCTGACATGGTCATTCTTTGGGAGGCAGAGGAGACACTCGCTCATGAGAACAGAGCCGAGGATCCTACAGCTATGGACATTTATGAGGTCCGGTTGGAAAAGGGCAAGTGTCCTTTCATTGGTTTTATGGCAGGTCTGATCACAAGGTTGTGTAGCTCCCACTAGAAAACAGCAGGAGTTGCGCCTGTTGCAGGCTCAAAATTGCCCTGAACATCCGGACATCAACCCCCCCGGTCGACGAGGCGCTGCCACTTGGCTCGCCACTGGTCTCACCATAGAGGAATCCCAAATCTCTCTCTCTAAGGATGTCAAAAGGTTACGAATGCACCCAACAGATATGCAATTGCTGAGAGTGGCCCGATGCTGGGATAAACTTCACACTCAGATCACAAGCTTTCTCGAGATGGCACCTACCTATCTTGGAGTTGAAGTCGATGTCAATGACCCGGATTTTCCTTTGAATAGTGTTCATAATTCACTCCATGACGATGGTGAAGATTTCTCAGATCTCGACGATGATCAAAATCCTGATCCAGACACACACGATACTTCCATATTTCAACCGGAGCTCACTGTCATACCTCTGCCATCCAACATTGGTGAGCTCAGGTGCAGGGAGTTAGGTCTCACCAATCTCATGAAAGAAGAAATTGCCCTCCATGAAGGCCAGGCCAATGACGCACTCCATGCTATTAGAGTTCATTTGGGAGATAAAGCTGTTTTATTCTGCAATACTGTCCGGTCAGCCAAGTCACAGGCATCATCTACTAGGGCATGGACTCGAGTTCGCTCGGTAGAGACTGCTGTGAATCTCAATGCCAGTATCTATTCAAAATGCCAGTCGCAACTGGCCAAACTCTCTGACCACGACCTCTTGAAGAAATACATTCCTTTGAAGAAAGATGACCTCAAAGCCAGCTCTGCAGTGGCTGATCCAAATGCACGTGGTCAGAGGGACACCACTCTGTCATGGTTCTGGTCTTTGGATGTTTAGGGCGACACATCAGGAAATGACTGGATGACAGAATGCGAGTGTCTGGTGCTTCCGGATATATCTGGTCGTCCGGTCCCACATGTTCTCATAATAGTTTACCGGGTTAATTGGCTCCGGACAAAAGCACTGCGTGATCGATGGAGTGAAGAGCTTATTCTGGTCAAACATGAAATGCAGTGGTCAATCAATTTTTTTGACCGCAGAGCGAAGCAATGGCTCAGTCACATGCACAATGCTACTTCTGCAGGGCTCACCGGACACACATGTTATGCTGCACGACAATCCCACATATATCACCAACTAGCAGCACATGCAGAGAATGCTTTTCGGACAATGATCGATCAGCTAGATATACCGGTTCAGATAGTTGGTGGTACCGGTTGATATGGTTGATAATACCGGTCCAGACACATAATTCGTGTTACCAGTTGATAATACCCATTACATAATACACAATTATCTTGGATACATGCAAATAATCCTAGTGTGTCAGTCACCCTACAATCTCACATTCCTCCATGAACAACAGCGCAACTCTCATCCCCTCTGACCAAGTCATAATTGCCGCCAAGGGCAATCACATCACCGCTGCAGATATCTCTCATGCCTTATTCTATGCCAATTCTCGGCTGTTGGCCATGCGCCTGCATGTTGACAAGAGTTTTGCCACTGCCATGCCTGGCTATGCACAAGCATTCTACACCCTGATGAAATGGGAGATGGAGGTAGGTAGCTGGCCATGCTGATATTCCCTTGCCCTCATCTTTCCCCTGTCATATAGACCTTTGTCACACCTTTCATCAATATATGTTTTATCACCCGGTTGTCCGCTGTTATTCCCAAACTTATCAAGGATGTGCTCTCAATCATGACCGCGCACACATTGGTGGACCAGCAACTGGATGTCCATGCCATTTTGCAGGATATCAAGGCATTGTGCCTATCTGTGGATTCAAACAAATCTGATGATTATGATATTGCTCACATGCAAGACTATTTTAATGACTGGTGGAAGGACACACTTGGTTGTTGCCAGGTTTCAGATATGTTGCCCAAGTCATCTGTCCAAGATGTGATGGAATTTGGTGGGATGGCACTTTTCACACCTTGTGAGTTCATACACCGGATGCACCGGATGCACCGGATACTTATATCATCCATGATAGCCTGATCATGTCAAGACTGGCCTTCTCCCATATATCCTCCAAGGGCCGGATGATCTGAAAGATAAAGCCAGTTCAGCATCTCTTGCACAGTGTCACCAGACAACAATTGGTAGAGAGTTGATGGATATATTGCAGAGCAAGATGATGAATCTGAGAAGTTCATGTGATCACTTGACCGGATTGGTTGGGCCAATTGAAGAAATCACCAGGGCTGTGTCGTCATCACAGGCACTCATTGACCGGTTAAATATTGATGACAGTGTATCTACATCATAGTGAAGTACAACCTGATGGCTGCTGGTATCCGGTCAATATGTTATACCCTCATACAATCATGTCATTTTCACCAGAATGTAAAAATCAGGTCGTGTGAATGTCCGGCTATTTTACCCAATTAACATCTGACTGGGTATTTATCAACATCAGTGTTTTCCCGCCGCTTAATTGTTTTGGCAAGACATGGTTGCAATCCCACTAGACTGGGCCCTGTACCAGACATACCTTGCCGGTGAATTGGTGCACGAGATTTTCATGTCTACAATTCTACACCGACCGGTAAAGGATATGGACCTTGGACTCTTGGATATCGACACTTGTATAGCTTTGGAGCAGCTCGCCAATGTGATGGCAACTGCTTACTCTAATGCCGGTACGTATTCCGGCGCATCACTCTGTTCCGGTCAACTAACTGGCAGAGAAAGTCCATCTTCGAATAGACATGGTTAGATACAATGATGCCCTTGACAAAGACGAATCCGGTCGAAGTGAAAACCGAGAGGAGATTCTTTTCGGCAGATTCCCCCCTGAAGAGGAGCGTTTCTTGACAACCCCATCTGTTGTCATTGATTCCGGAGGTAGAATAATTGTGTGGTATTTGCCTGGAGCACTGACCGGTATGATGGTGGTTGGTCTTCTTTCCATTACCATGTGTCATTCTATCTTACCCTGATGTATAATAGACGGATATTTATGGTGCAACACGTTCCATGGGTGGTTTGTTGAGGCATAGCATCACAACAGGTAAGACTTCTCAATGGAGGACCCATCAGTCCAATTTCCACCCAAGTCTGGATGGGATGATCACCCCCGGTTGTATCAATATATCTCCTGCATGGTTTCAGCAAGGAAGAGAGGTACGTCCGGTCGACATGCATTGAAATCTCTGGTTTGATATCTTGTAGACACATGGCTTCCTGAATCTTGACCCGGAAGATGGGTTCTCACCAGAGGTATCTGCGGCACTGAAAGGTGATGCTGGTCACCAGATTACGGCATCCCTTCAAAGGTCCGGACTCATTGTCTCTGCTGCACTTCGAGTCATGCACCCGGATCTTTATTGGGCCGGAATGGAAACTCAAGTCAGGCTTGGTACATGGGCTGCTAGATATCAATTGGATGAGATGCAACATCATCTTTGATGTTGGACATCTGTTTTCAATGTGGTATCGGTCATATGCAATCGCTGGACACCCCCTCATTGAGATCCCAAATGTCGACCGGCAGCATTTGATATCATGACAACCTCTGGTATTTATCAGCCGGTCGTCATGGATTTTATGAACCTTGGAATCAAGTTTCTATACGACTCAGGCTCAATGTTGGCTTCATCGTGTCAACTTGTGAGACATTACATGAATGTGGAAGAGGGTAACTGGATTGTCACTGCATGGTACATGCGAGACAGCATCCACAATTTTGTTGGGACTCCGAGCACAGAGTATGCAAAATATGACCATGTAAATATTTAGCAAGTGACTGCATATATTCATGCACATATATATTTCCGGTGAATCATATAGATATTCCAGTGTTGTTCTGGGAGTTCTCATTCATTAGATAGACTGGTTGGTATGCTAAGGTACTATATTGATATGGTTTTGTATGCACTGGGTGGGTATTCAAGCTGTACCGGATGAGCGCTGTCGATTAGTATACTCTTTACCGGATGTTATTTCCTTCACATACCTAGTGGTATGCTCTGCATCTACCAGATTATATTTCCTTACTCTACCGGATGGAATATCCTACCAGCCCACCCGTCTGTGACCTTGATGTACCTGCCCACCCGTCTGCGTTGTGCACCTCAGGTACCGGCCCACCCGTCTGCGTTGTGCACCTCAGGTACCAGCCCACCCATCCATATTGTGCACCTCAGGTACCGGCCCACCCATCTGTGTTGTGTACCTCAGGTACCGGCCCACTCATTCATGTTGTGCACCTCGGGTACCGGCCCACCCGTCTGCGTTGTGTACCTCAGGTACCGGCCCACTCATCTTCCATTGCACCCTAACACCCGGCCCACCCGTCACCATTGGACCTCATATACCGGCCCACCCGTCTCCATCACACCCATCTCTCTGGCCCACTCATTTACGTTGCACCACATTCCTCCAGCCCACTCGTCTCCATCGCACACTATATTCACTGCTATTCATATAGTACATTCCTATATAATCATCTACACTATATACCACCGGCCCATCTGGTTGCATCAGGTACACACCACCCTCAGCCCACTCGTCTACCATGGTACACTTATTCCTCAGCCCACCCATCTACCATGGTACACTTATTGCCATGGGCCCACATGGGCTGGCCCGCCTGTATTGCTACATTGTCACCCTCAGCTGTCCGTCTAATACGGGTGAATTCACTGAAGGGGCTCGGGCGCGGGTGTTGGAGAGTGTAAAAGTGAAAACAACCAGCGGTACAAGGAATGCACTGGGTGATTGTTCCAGATGTGGGGTAGAGCACCGGGAGGTACTTCTTGTATCATGTGGACTGCATTTTTGTGATCTGTCAAAATGGAGTAGGGTTCTTGCGGGTTAGCGTGAATAGCTAGTAAGTGTGAGGCACGAGCACGTGACACGAATGATATTGTCTCCTCAGCTTCCTCTTTCTTGTCCTCGCTGTTAGTCTTCCACCAAGGCTTATCATTAGTGGGATTCAAAGTAAGATTTTGAACGTTCAAGAAATGCACTGAAAGTGCGTTGAAACATTTTCTCTCAACTCAATTCCAATCTACATGCAACGTCTACACTCAAATCCTAGTGTCCTGGTTTGCCCGGATTTTCTCATTGATCCATACCAAGCTAGCCATGCTAGCCTCGTCACTCCCATCATCACTGAGGTGCAACTTGTGGCATGTTCAAAAGTCCCAGAACCAGTGCGGAGCTTTTAGTGCTTCCAGCTACTACTAGTACTGGCTGAGTACTGGTTGTTACAGGCTGCTACAGTCGCTTCAAAAGAAGCGCGCTGCTACAAGTCACTTGGCTTGGCAGTGGGTTTCCTGATGTGAGACCCCATTTGTATTTCCATTTTTACGTCTTCCTGTTCCCATGTTTTTTCCCCTTTGGTAGTCAGAACTTCAAAGCTTCCATAACATCGGTGCAATATACAGTGTACTACTACGTACCACATCATCTCAAACAACCAGTTTGTTTTTCAAACTTTCGTTAGCCATAACTTCGCAGTAGTAAATTTTACAGTAGGTTGACAGTCAGTAAACCTCGTACATACATACATGGCAAGTTACTTGAAGTAATGATACAACATTGTGACGTATGATGAGGTGACACGATCGCTTCTTGGACCGCTACCAAGTGGCACCCCAGCAAGGACCCCAGACACCAGCCATCAACAACGCGCCTAACAGCGCTAAACGTTGCTCAATGGCGACAAGCCGCCGCAAACAGCTCTCAATTCCAACACCTTAACAACCTAGCTCTATACTAAGATAAACAAATCACAAAAACAACTAAGAAAATGTCATCCAACGACCCCATTACTCCGTCGCAAAACACGGAACCAAAAACACGAGGCAGAAAAGCCACAGCTAGCAAAGCTCTTCTATCCGCAAGCAAAAGCCTAGAGGAACATTTAGCAGGCACAGGAATCAGAATGGATATCATCACCATAATCTCAGCAAGAAAACACCTTAACATGAACGGAATGAACTTATCAACTGCAGGAGGAACCATAACGAACATTGTTGGCGCTCTACTGGAAATGAGTCTAACTTCCAACTTAGGAGCAGTATACATGGAATCGCTCAGAGCCATAGCAATCATCCTCTACGACGTAGAACAAACTATTGATACTAACAACATCCTAAACAAAATAGCAGCCCTACTCGGAGGCCCAATTGCAACCTTAGACGAGAAAGTAGAAGTGTTAGAAGCTTTGATGGAGACCCACACAACTACATTGAGAGAAGCAGTCGAAGAGGTACGCACTCAACTAGATAAATCAGCATCAGGAATAGAAAAGGTGGTTGTAACGGCCACCCAAGCTACTAATCAACCCAAGATGAACGCAGAGGCACCAGCAAGGTCTGAAGGACCTCGCACTTATGCCTCCGCAGCGAAAACAGAAAACCCAAAAAGACTGACGAAAATTCTTTCACGCAGCGAAGCCCAAGCAAGACAGATTCTAATCGACAGAAGATCTATCTCAACTCCAAACACCCTCAAGGAACTCAGCGAGGCTCAATTGGTAGCGAAAGCTACACTCGCCCTAGAACTCATGGCCAAGGAAGGAACAACAGCACCAAAGGATATAGCGATACTGTCGGCAAGGAAACTACCCCATGGAGGGATACTCTACGAACTCAACGCACCGATATCGGCGGAATGGCTCAATGTCCCAACAAATAGAAGTACTTTCTCAATCACTTTGACGCTAACGCTATCATTAAAGACAGATCATACCACCTTATAATAGAGAACGTCCCAATCTCCTTCGACCCTGACTCAAAGGCAACCATAGCGGAAATAGAAGTCAAGGGTGGATTACAAATGAACTCGATCTCAAAGATACGATACATCAAACCAGTAGCAAGAAGGAGCCCAACCCAAAGATCAGCACACGTCGCGCTCACTCTCAACTCCAAAACAGCCACCAATCAGATCATCAGATTCGGATTATCCATTGAGGGAAAGAAAGTATACGGTAGGAAATTGCTAACAGAACCCACAAGATGTCTAAAGTGTCATACCTTCAACAGAGGCCACATTGCCATGGACTGCCCCAAAGACAATGACACATGTGGAACATGCGGAGCGGAACATCACACGACAACCTGCAAGGTCGACGACCCAGCATTTTACCACTGCATCAACTGCAAAGAGGATGGACACGGATCATGGAGCAGAGAATGTCCAGTCTTTATTGGAAAATGGAACGCACAAAAAGCAAGAAACGACGAAGCCCGGTGTAGGTGAGGAATGTAGGATGATAGAAAGTGGGTGGTATGAGATATACTCAGATGGTCCTCTGTGCGCAAATCTAATGTCGGCCCAAGGGGATTGCTACTGAGAAGGTTCCTCTATATATATTAGTGGAGGGAAACACTGAACCAGGCTGTCGGATAAGCCTGGTGAGGCGTGCGACAATGAGCGAAGCGCGAAGAGCGAAAGCGCTATGGAGCGCTACTGAGCGATGAGTATGATAGCACGCGTGCGGGTGGTGGAGCGCAGCGACTCTTAAGTGAGTCGAGAGACAGGTAAGACAATGTCTGTATAAAGAATATGAGAGCTGGCGCTCGTGTCGGCTCTGGTGCTTGGTGTTGGTCAGCGGGTTTGACAGAGATTTTAGACTTAGAGTCCAACATTTTGTGCGGGAAGAAGAAGATAATCATTCTACATTGAGGCAAGGTATATATATTCTAAGTAGCGTTAAGCGCTGTCAAGCGCTAAAGCGAGCCGGAAAGCGAAGCGAGTATGAGGTGATATGTAATAAGGGTCCGTGACGAAACATACAGAATATGTGCACAAGCGCCAGAGATATGTCAGAATACATGAGAATAAAATAGGAATACATACCGACGAACTGAATGGACATGGAATGGATGGACGGAGGACGAGCGACGGAACCGAGGATACATGTGCTGATGCGCGACTGAAGCGCCTGTGCGCACGAGCAGCCAACAAAGTGCCAAGTGCGCAGAATGAGATACGGGTCGCACTGTGTTTGGAAGGTGTTTAGGGCATTGTAGAATTAGCTCTCTACAAGGCCACAGAGATGTCAGTCTCTACACCAGTATACTTACTTCCCAACAGACGATCCGCTAACATGGGAAACAATGGAAGGCCAATCAGAAGATCCAAACGACCAGCAACACAACCAGCATGACATCGCACCTCAAGACCACACGCAAGGATGGAAAATGGTCCACCAGCTCCGACGACCGCAGAATAAAGATAGACACAGAACCAACTCTAACCACATCCCTCTAGGCACCCAATCAAGATTAACGGAAGCATGGACGCACTCTCACGTACAAGAAAGGAATACGAGAGACAATGAAACACCCCAGCCAACACCACCGGAAAACCATCATCAAACCACCCCTCCACGCTGGGAACTATCACCTAACCATCAAGCTGCGTACTATAGCGAACAAGAACCTGCAAACTGGAACTAATGCCGGACACAACCAATGAACCCCACGCCAGGACCGACCTCAGAATATGGCAACAGAACCTCCGCAAATCGCTAAATGCATGGGAACATATGCTCAGAAACCTCGACCCCGATAAATACGACATTGCGTGCATCCAAGAGCCGTATCTTAACCCAGTAAATCTCGCAAACGCCTCGAACCTCAGCCGATTCTAGGATGTGGTATATCCATCAAATCATCACGCAAATCTGACCCGCTCCCAAACTCTCACCCTAGTCAACAAATGAATCTCAAAAAACAACTGGCATATAATCCATGTAAACTCGCCGAACGTCATGGCCATTGAACTGATAAGTCCCCATGGAAAGGTGCGCATATATAATGTATACAATCAATGTGAAAACAACAGCACACTCCATTTCATGGAGAGACACATGCGTACTGAAAATAATGTAAGACGCAACCATGAAGGTCTCGCTCAAGGTGAAAACCAACTGGACGAACATATGATATGGCTCGGTGACTTTAACCATCACCACCCTATGTGGGAATTAGCCAATAATGCACACTTATTTACTGCAGCCAATTTAGACGCTGCAGGAACCCTCATTAACCTCTTAGCGCTGTACAATATGACACAAGTACTCCCACCAGGGGTAGCAACCCTCGAAGCCTCAAACACAAAGAACCTTACTCGACCAGACAACGTCTTTTGCTCAGATGGAATGGAACAAGTCTTCACGCAATGCGAGGTCATGTACCACCTCCACCCAGTAATCACTGATCATTTCCCCATCATTAGCACATTAGATCTCAGCCCAGAACGCATCAACACCATCCCACGCCTCAACTACTGCACAGCAGAATGGGACACATTTAACGAAGCACTAGAACGAAGACTGGCAATGCACCCCCCAGCTGAGCTCACATCTGTAGCTGAGTTTAACACAGTGTTCACAAAACTCACACAAATCATAGCAGTTACCATTAACGAGCACGTTCCAAGGGTCAAACCATCCCCTTACTCGAAAAGATGGTGGTCGAAAGACCTAGATCAAGAAAGAAAATCAACACACAAACTTGGAAGAGAATCAAGACACCGCCTAGCCCAACACAATCACCCGATACACAAAGAATACTGAATCGCGCACAACTGATTCTCCGAATCTATCAAGAAGGCCAAAGAAGATCATTGGAAGGTTTGGCTAGAATCACTGACATCAACAGATATGTGGAATTTCCACCGATATGCCACCAGCAACCCTGCAGACCAAATCCAAACCCGCATCAAGACACTCAAGGATCCAAGAAACGAACAGCAGGACAACACCATGCAAGATAACGCCCGCAAGAGCGAATTATTGTATCAGACCTTCTTCCGCCAACCCCCCGAAGATGACCATGTAGACCCAAATTTCGTCTATGAAGCTCCCATTTGCAAATTCAGGCCAATCACTAACCAGCAAATCTACAGAGCAATAGCCCGTCTCTCACCGCACAAAGCTCCAGGACCGAATGAAATCAGCAACGTAGTATACATGAAAAGTGCACATCTATTAGTCACATACCTCGGCCCGCTATTCAGAGCAACCTTCACCCTCGAAGTATATCCAGAGCAATGGAAGAAGTCCTCAACAATAGTACTACAGAAACCAGGAAGGCCGGACTACAGCCTCCCAAAAGCTTACAGACCAATAACTCTCCTTGACACCATGGCTAAGATTCTCTCCTCGTGTGTAGCAGACGATCTAACGTACATTGCAGAACAACACAACCTTCTCCCCGTGACACACTTTGGAGGCCGCCCAGGCAGATCAACGACAGACTCACTGCACGTACTAATGAAATTTATCACAGATGCCTGGGCATCCAAAAACTGCTTCGTATTGGTACTCTTCCTCGACGTCAAAGCCGCATTCCCCAGTGTAGTAGTACAAAGACTCCTCCATGATCTCAAGAAAGCCAGAATACCCGCAGAGTATATTGAGTGGTACAAGAGAAGGCTAGCAAACAGAACAACAACACTCTGCTTCGATGACTTCGTATCAGCACCTTTTGACGTACAAGACGGAGTAGACCAAGGATGCCCATTATCACCCCTTGCCTTTATCTTTTACAATTCTGACATACTGAATGTTGCAGACAAAAGACCGAGCAAAGGAGAACTCAGTCTGGGATTCCTAGATGACATTGCAATTGCTGCAAAGGCCAAAACATATGAAGAAGCCAATGCAAAACTGGCGAATATGATGTCCAAACCAGGAGGAGCACTTGCATGGAGCGAAGAACACAACGCTGAATTTGAGCTCGACAAAACAGCGCTAATATGCCTATCGCGAAAGAGAATCCTGAGCCCAACCGAACCCAGGAAAACAATCCCTGTACCACGCCCAGCCATAATGATAAGCGGTCGTGTCATTCAACCATCAAGCTCACACAAATTCTTAGGAGTAATTATCGACCAAGAACTGCGCTTCAAGGAACATGCTGACTATGCTCTTGCCAAGGGAACCAAGTACATGTTAGCCTGCAACAGGATGATAAGGCCAACGAAAGGACTCAGAGGAAGATGGATGCGCAGACTATACCAAGGAGTTATCGTTCCAAAGATGTTATATGTGGCTGACATATGGTGCGCAGGTATATTAGCAAAGAGCAAGGGAAACAAAGCAGGAGGAAGAGGATCCCATGGCTTTGCCTCAAGAATGGCCAGAGTACAAAGAATGGCAGCCTTACTCGTCACAGGAGCGATGCGCTCAACTCCGACTGATCTAATTGACATTCATGCTAACATTAAACCCTTTCAACAGACTCTCCGCCAAATATGCCACAGGGCGATACTCAGGCTAGTAACTCTGCATGAGGACCACCCACTCAACAAGAGCATCAGAACCACATACAACTTCTACGCAAGGCGCGAATTCAAGAAAGAGAAACGCCACCCATCCCCCATTCACAAACTCATCAGCGAGTTCAAGCTAAACCCATTGACGATAGAAACCATCCAACCCGTACGGCACTACACGAAATGGATCCCAGACATAGAAGTCCATATCGCAGAATCAAAGACAGCAGCTTACCTTGAAGACACACTGGCCGTGGAAGAGTTGCGGGTATACTCAGATGGCTCGGCCATAGAGGGAGGGGTAGGAGCAGCAGCGGTGCTAATGGAGGGAGAGCAGAAGGTGAAGGAGAGATGATTCTATCTAGGAGGGGTAGGAGAACACATGGTGTATGAAGGAGAGATAGTGGGCATGCTGCTCGCAGTGCAGCTATTGGAAGAAGAGATGAGAGGAAGGAGAGACGTCCCAACCATGGCACTGGGAGTGGACAACCAGGCGGCGGTACACGCAACGATGGCATTCCAATCTAAACCGGGACATTACCTCATGGACATGTTCCATGATGAACTGCGTGAGCTACTCACAGACAACGAGAACAGGAATCGCAAACTGGTGGTCAGATGGACAGCGGGGCACATCGGAATAGAAGGCAACGAAGAAGCAGATGAAGAGGCGAAAAGAGCTGCAAAAGGGGAATCATCAGACGGACACCTGCTACCCCACTCCCTCCGCAAAGCAGACAACTCACCAGTAACCCTCCCAAGAAGCAAATCAGCAATCAAACAATCATTCAACAATCATCACCAAAACTTCAAAACCTATATATGGCCAGCGGAGGTCATCTCATGACATACCATCGGTCAACAGCCCCAGCAGGGTGACCTAGGCCCATCATGATGGATTAACTTCATGTCGTCCATATATGCGCGGATCAGGAATCGCTGTTGAGGATCAATTTTTCGTCATATGTAGGATGTATGCTAGTTTCTCATCATGTACTAGTCATTGCGAAACCTTTAGAACTGCCGGGACACTTATAATGCACTACCAGACTGATATTTCAGGATAAGCACATATCATTGTATTGCCACATGGTATGCATTACAGAAATCTACGACATGCATGATTGAAACTCTAAGGCGCTGAGTGATGACAAAAGTCCAAAATGGTACAATGGCACAACAGCAATACAAATGGAAAAGCAGCGAGTGATGGTGCGCAGACAGCAACAGACAGCAATTCGAGAGTAAATGAGACAAGTGGTGAACTAGTTCTGAAGCAGTTAGACTAGTATACAAGGAATAAGAAATCTCGTACCAGAGAATGCCAAGTTACTTTCGACCCTTGCGTTTCTTACCAGCGCTCTTGTTGCTCTCGCCCGCCTTGGCCCGCTTGCCTTGTTTTGGATGTTTTGCTGGAGAAGGGGCAACTTCGGATTCCGCGTCGGTCAGTGGGCTATCGCTATCAACCAGAAGCTCCGCAGATGGGCGCTTTTTAGACACGACAGTATGGGGCACAGTGGCGACTGAGGCAGGCTTCGGCGAATGATTAGTAGGAGCCGATACTCGTGCAGGAGACGGAGTAGGTGCAGGAGGAACATGAGCACCCGAACTCGAAGAAGCATGTTGAGTGGTAGGTTTGATGGGGTGAGGTCTAGGAATGGGCCTTGCAGCTGGCGACACAATCAGGTCTTCTGGAGGAGGGGTAGTTGCAGGAGAGGATGGTTCCCTTCTTGATGTAGATGTGGTAGTCGTAGCGTCCATCATTGATGTTTCGGAGTCAAGCTCGAGAGGTGTTTTATTGGTCTGTACGTCAACAGGTCCAGGCCGAAGGAAAGACAAGTGAAAAAATGTATCATAAAATAAAATAAAACCGCACCTCAGCCCATCCCTTTATTGTACGCATCGCAAATTGTTTCTTCATTAAAGCATAGTCATCTTCTTCATCTTCGTTTTCGCTAAGGTTGAAGTCGAGTACACCCTTCTTATTAGTGAAGACTGCACTTCAAAATTACAGGGCTTGAATATATCATGCGGGCGTGAAAAAAAAAACACTCACTTGTTCCACCACTCAAGGAGGGACTTTGCCCAATCGGGGTCGGGTGCCTCGCGGATAGCTTTGATGGTGTGGTAGTATGCATCATGGTAACTGTATTTTCCGTCGCTCTCAGACCACTTGTCACGCGAGGAGATACCATAGCGAGCCTGCCACTGGTAGATTAAATCAGGTGTTAATATAGTATTGGAAAACGTACTTGAATAAAGGCATAGGCAATGTGTTCCGCCTCTACCTTTTGCATGTTGTGAAGTTTTGCGTTGCCAGAACGAACAGTAGTCTTCTCTCCGTCGTCGATGAGTGCAGAGGAAGGACTCATGTAAATATGCCTTAGAACCTGAATGTACGAGGAGTGTGTCAATAAACCTAATTCTATCAAAAAAAACCCTTACTCATTTAAGGAGATAGCCTTGCAAAAATCCTTCCTGGACATTATCGGGGTCGAAGTCTTTTCCCGGAGGATCGCCGGCATAAGCAAGTGCCGGCCAAACACTTGCATGAACTTTGATCTCGCCATTTTGGAGTTGTGCTTGAACTCTGTAAAGGAATGAGAGATAACACTAAATTAGAATTGTTGTAAATGTACTTTCTTGGCTTTTCTTGATAGGATTTCATGTGCTTGATTGGACAGAGCATACCAGCAAGCTGTGGGTGATTCATGCCCATCCTGGCACGAGACTTCGAATGGTCCGAGTAGATAGGAGGATGCAAGCCATTGTTGTCAGGGTCAGCAGCTGCATAACGCCCTATAAAGGGCTTGAGATGACTTGCATCTTCAGAGCGAATCTGACCAATGATATCTTGCATCTGTTTGCGATAAGTCAACACAAAAAATTGCGTACATACAGCAACCCTAGAGACGTACCTCAGCAAGAATCCTATCTAGTTCTCTTCGTTGCTTCTTGTTACCTCTAGCAAGCACACCCAGATGTGGCGCCAACAGAACAATCCTCTGAAAGGTATTCATGTGATGCTCTTGGACGTCCTTAGTCCTATGAAGAAATTAGTTGCTTAAGAAATGTTGACAAGATTTAGATACGTACAGATGTGCGAGCATCTCCTTGCGCTCCTTTTTAGCAGCTTCGTCTTCTGGCTCGGATAAGTCTTGTGGAGCCTCATCTTGCCTCACCAGATTGGCAGTGCAGAATACATCCCTCAGACTGCAGAACATGTCGATGCCACGAGGTATCCAACGTGCAATATGTAAGCATTGATCCCTCGGGCTCGTTCCCCTCCTACTATTACTAGACAATGCATTAATAATACCTTAAACAAAGTGATGTGATCATTACCTTTCGTGACTACCACCCCGATTGCCTTTTCTATAGATATATGCGCTATTAGTAGACTGATCTTAGATTATTGAATGACCCAGACTTACTTGGCTACCTTTTTTGCATGTTTTCTAGCCTCCTTGCGAGGCTTGGCTTTGATTTGTGGAGACGGAATGGATTCAATATCTGATGAAGATGAGTCATCTCCTGATCCAGATGATTGGGAGGACGAATCACTATCAGAATCTGAGAGGATTACTGCAGGAGTAGGTCGTTTTGAGCCTTTTTTGTGAGCCATGGCCACGATGGAGCTAGGAGGTAAGATGAGATAAAGTGTAACTTAATCGTGCTGAGAGATGCATTGTTTTGACATATTGATATCGGGGTTTGAATCCACCTTGCCTCTGCGGCGCGGCCTCGAACTGCCATAATCAGCCGCATCATGATCTCATCAACATATATTTGCCTTCAACCTGGTCTTGTCCGATGAAAATGTCCAGATTCAATTTGCCCTGGACGTGTAAGCTGTTGCTAGGTGTGTGAGCCAAACTTTACATTCTTCGCAGTGAGGATCTTAGGTGTGTGTCCTGAGCTTCTGAAATTTGGATCAACGGCTCATTTCTGTCCGCCTTCAGAATAGACTTATCTAGATGTCGTGAATCATCACATTCACCTTGTCTGTATGTAGACATGACAAATCAGAATGGTTCCCTGATACAAGTACTTGAATGTGCGATGTTATCAGTTCAGTTCATCCAGCCATGCTTGTTGCCCCTCACTGTGTGCTTTTGCACTACACCCTCACTTCGCACTTTTAATCTATATGGATCTGCCTTGTCTTGCGTGCGGCAGGACCTTTACAGCTCAGAAGAAACTCTCTGCGCATGTTTCGCAGTGCTCACGCAAACAGGCCTTGAAACTTGCTGACCCGCTGTACCACACCAAGAAAAAGCGAAAGTCGGACAAGGCAAGCAGCAAGAAATCCAAACAAGCACGGAGTGATCGTGCAGAATTAATTCAACTAGGTGTTGACAATGAGGGCCCGCAAGATTATGCAGACATGGATATGGGTGCCAATGCCATAGATTTTGAACAAGTGAGGTTTATTAACAGCTTCACCGTGATCTGATATTTAGACTACATATTGTGTTACAGCCCGAAAGTATTGCAGGACCATCAAACATCCCCCGTTCACCCTCACCTCCCCCAGTCACTTCAAAGTGCTCCGGATGTACAGTACGCATGCCTCGGCGCTTCATCGACTACCTCCCTGGATCAGCTACGCACCTCGCACATATGCCTCCCACTAACTGGCAGCAACGAGGGCGTGTTCCGCACGAAGTAGATGAATCTCAACATGTTCGAGCACCATCTCCATCCCCAGCACCTTCTTCTGAGCCAGAAGATCCCCGCCCTGCGTTCATCCCTTTCCAGACCGAACCCAACACCATGGGTCTTTATCGCATGTACCCAACACGTCCCACTTTAGCTCCAGAGGGTCTCTTGACCTTGGAGAGAGTGACGGATGCGCCAACCCTGGACAGTGACCAAGCGGCAGTTCATGGAGTGCACCCTGGTCTCTCTACACCTGAAATTAGCGCCAAGCACTTGTTTGATGGCTTCTCAAACCACACTTCCAGAGTTCTGATGGCGTGGCATTACTCTGGCACCAATAGTAACTCGGCGGTCAATGTCAATCGTCTTGCAGAGTTCTTAAGTTCAGATCCTCGTTGCTCCCTTGCTCACCTAAGTGGATTTAATTTCACGCGCGAAATGAAGCTGTTGGACAAGTACATCGAAGATAAGTCTAACCCCTTTCGAGAAGAATATGGATGGCGCCAATCTACTGTGAAGATCTGACTACCGAAGGAGAAGACGAAATTTCTATCAGAAGCCAATGCTCCTGAACTCGAAATTCCAGGTGTTTATCATTGTTCTTTGACCGACATCTCACAGTCATTCAATATGACACCGTTTGAACAGTTCTGGACTACACCTGATCATCGGACAGTAAAAGTTTTCGGGGAGGCATACACATCCCCTGCATTGATGGAAGCTTACAAAGAAATTAATGCGCTCCCTCATGACCCTGGAGATGACCTTGAGCGTATTGTTGCCTCGCTCATGGTGTGGTCAGATGCTACGCACCTGGCAAACTTTGGGGACGCCTCCCTCTGGCCATTTTACGTTTTTTTTGGGAATCAGTCCAAGTATACACGAGGCAAGCCGACAGCTCGTGCTTCACATCATTTGGCATATATTCCAACAGTACGTATCACTCATTTTCATTAATATTGGTATCTTACTATGTTTTGCTTCAGCTTCCAAATAATCTACAAGAAATCTATATGGATATCTTCGGCGAGGCTACATCGAGCGATGTTCATACGCATCTGAAATGCAAGTTGATGCAAGCAATATGGCAATTGCTTCTGGATGGTAAGTTTATGGAAGCATACAAACATGGAATAGTGATCCGGTGCTCTGATGGGATCACACGAAGAGTATATCCACGGTTCTTTTCATATTCGGCGGACTATCCTGAGAAGTAAGTACACATTTCATTTTACATGTGATCGGACATGAGGCATTAACATATTTTGCACTGCGCAGAGTTCTGCTTGCTACTATAAAGTTTCTCGGAGGGTGCCCCTGTCCACGCTGCCTGGTCAAGAAGGCAGATGTCTACAAGATGGGCATGAAACTCGACATGAAGCACCGCGTGACTAACAGACGCATTGATGACTTTCGACGACAGCGCAGTGTTGAAGAAGCACGTATTTTGATTTTTCGACTTGGAGTCCCTGTAAGTGGGAGCCGTGTCAAAGCAATTCTTGACGAAGCTTCGTATGTTCCAATTCATGTAAGCAACTCTACATATTCTATGTTTCTTTCACTAATACATGGGTTCAGTCTGCATTTTCTGAGAGACTTGCAGAATACGGATTGAACATGTTCAATATGTTTCTCGTCGACCAGCTTCATGAGTTTGAGCTCGGCGCATGGAAGGCCAAATTCACTCATTTGATGCGGATACTTCATGCAGCTGGAGGGAACACTATTCCAGATCTCAACAAACGGTAGTGTTTTTGGGCACATCATTGGTCTTACAAGCTCACTGTGTTTTACATTAGATACCGAAAAGTACCAACATTTGGCAGGGGGACTATTCGTCGCTTCCACAACAACGCCTCTGCCATGAAAAAACTTGCAGCCCACGATTTCGAGGACCTATTACAAGTAAGTCAACTTTAATGATCGTTGTTTATTTATTTTTAACTTCTCCAGTGTGCTATTCCCGTCTTCGAGAAGCTATTGCTGGACGACCATAATAAGATTGTGCTTGACCTTCTATTCGATCTCTCTGTTTGGCATGCATATGCCAAACTACGAATGCACACAGAAGACACGCTCGCATTGTTTGATACTGCAACCGTGGTCTTGGGCCAATCTGTCCGAAAATTCTTCAAGACTACGTGTAGCTACTACCATACAATGGAACTCCCTCACGAGTATGCGGCACGAGGACGTCGAGAGGCTGCATTAGCAGCCAAACAACCTTCATCTTCAGGTAAAGGGAAGCAGAAGTCCGGTCCCAAGTTCAAGGCCCTCAATTTGTCAACTTATAAGTTCCATGCTCTTGGACATTATCCTAACACAATCCGATGTTTTGGTACCACAGACAGCTTTTCCACACAGCCGGTAAGTTGATTTCAAATTGAACCATTGAAATATCTGATATCCTATTTTCAGGGAGAACTTGAACACCGGCGAGCGAAGCGCTGGTACCCGAGGACAGCCAAAAACAAGAAGACTATGATTGCTACAATGACTCGCCTCGAAGCCCGTGAACGTGTTATTGCACGAATTAACCAACGGCATCAAGAGTTAGTCAAGCCACCTCGCAAGCCACGCAAACGCACATCACCTGCCGCACACTATCACATTTCCAAATATCCGAAAGCATCTTATGATATGACTGCATGGCTCAGCGAACTCGAGGGAGACCCAGCGATCAAGGTAAGTAATTTCTTGTATGTTTAGGATCTATTAACATGATGCCATAGGACTTCATTCCGAGATTGAAGAACCATCTATTGGCAAGATTGCGTGATCTCAAGTACTCTGGAGATGAGCATGAATTCTCTGACGAGGACAGGAGCCAGGTGATTCTCGCTAACAATCAACTACATGAGCATACCATCCTGTGCATCAACTATACGACTTACGACCTTTGGCAAGAGCAAGATTCAATGAATCCATGAACTCATGCTGACATCATGATGTTGTCACATGAGAATGACGAGGACCAACATCCCTATTGGTATGCTCGTATTATCAAGGTATTCCACGTCAATGTTTGGTACTACAGTCCTGGTGTTTCTCAAGCAGCACCTACTCATATGCATGTACTATTCGTGCGTTGGTTTGGGCGAGATGTTGCCTTCAAAGCTGGGTGGTCTGCCAAACGACTCCATCGCATCGGATTTTTCAGCCGAGATGATCCTGACAGCTTCGGCTTTGTTGATCCCAATCAAGTGATCCGCGGAGTTCATTTAATTCCTGGATTTGAGTATGGACAGACTGACACTCGACTTGGGCCTTCATTTGTCCGTCCACACGAAGACAAGGACACAGACTTTTTGTATTTTTACGTGAATCAGTGTGTATTCCTAAGCTACTGCTATGGTAAATGCTAATGATCAATTTAGTTTCATAGATCGGGACATGTTTATGCGTTTCCGCGGAGGTGGTGTGGGCAACAAGATGCCAGAAGATCTATATGAACTTCTGCGGAGGGATGGTTCTATAGAGATTGCTGGTGAGAACGAGGAGCTTACATTCGGAGAGCCAGATCAACCTTGGGGAAGTGATGATGAAGATATTGACGAGGATGATGAGGAGGGCAGCGAGGGCAGTGAGGGCAGCGAGAGCAGCAAGGATGTGGATGAGGAAGATGTAATTGTAGCTGACGACGAGGAGGAGCTTGACGACGACATTCTCGAACAGGAGGGGTATGGTACTTTGTGATATGTATCTCAGTGAATATCATACAATAACAGACGATAATCAGACTTAGGATGGTATAGCATTTGAATATCATTTACTACTGATATACCAGCATCTATATGACATATTCCAGCTGTCGAGAATCATTGGACGCGGGATAAACTTTCCATTTCGGTCAGGAGCGATCATGTTGAATGGAGTGGCATGGCATTTTCGAAATACACTTATTGAGGGGCGGCTGGTCATCCAAATGGGACAGAAGTCAGACAACATGTATTAATGGCAGGGAATATCAGGCAGGATTCAGATTGAAAATAGTATATCATAGGGCAGCCATGATGATGACACATTATCATTGGAGTAGCAGACACATACAACGATGGTATACTACTCAACCACTCCACGTCATCATGATTGGATGCTTACATCAACGTCGCGACGGCATCACCCATGACCCAAAACAATTTGTCAGCATCAGCCTAATCAGGCAATACCAGGTTTTTGAAGTTTTGGTGATGATAGCATCACAGACGAAGCAGCCTCAATAATGCGCCTATCACCCCGCTACGCAAGATTCAAGGAAATAGATCCATGCGCACCGTCAAACACCTTCTCGCGAATCGCAGACCACCTTCCGAGACGTCACGCATCCCTTCTAATCCAACTCCAAACTGGTCACGTCCCACTGAACAAGCACTTACACCGCATAGCACAAAGCCCATCCCCGCACTGCACAACCTGTCAAGAGAGAGAAGAATCTGTCCATCATTTCCTCCTCGTATGTCCAACGTACGCGGCTCACCGAAGAAAGCTAAAAGCGGAGCTGGGAACCCGGGCCTAGCAACTAAAACACTTACTCAACGACGAGAAGTGCATAGGACCACTGTTCAAGTATATAGCTCGCACCAAACGCTTCGTCAGCACCTTCGGAGACGTCACCCCCCCAGAAAAGGAAAACAATCGCAATAGACGAAGAACATAGACGGCTAGCAAGCTAGCAAACACCCCGCATACCTTCAGACGGTATCCAACGTCCTCGCATCACAGCCTGGACCAATATTAGAGTCACATACAAATGTTTCATTAGCACAAAACTACGATAGATTACCATACTGTACGTACTGTCCACCATAGGGCCCCGCCCCACCGGACAATAAAGAGGATTAAAAAAATTAAAAAATTAAAAAAAACGATGAGGTGAAAGACAAGATGACAACAAAAGGACAACACGACTTACAAGTACAACTGACAAAATAACTGTTGCAACCTCACTTCTACCACCTGCCCCCTGCCGTGTCAGATGCATTAAAAAGCCACTAAGCATAGCTTTTGCATAAGGCCTTTCTCCTTGGAAAACACTTTCAAGGATCTGATCCAGACGATTTGATACTTCGGGTGTGCTGCGGAACTCTATCAGGAGCTCTAGTTCCATTTTCTCGATATCAGGGTACCTGTGGTGATCAAGGGTCAGCGATGATCATGGCGTAGAACAAGAAAGGCGTACTGAGCTGTAAACCATGAAAACGCCTCATCCAATATATTTTTCGAAGATAAATTGGATTTGATTGCCTGGCGCGCCAGAGCTTCCAAACGTGCGTTCTTGAGCTTCGGGATTATTGTTAATCGGTGTGCCAGATAAGACGCGAGACACACAAACCTTAGAGGCGAGTCGGTACATCGACTTGGGAGAACAGCATAAAGTTTGAGTTGTGTTGTTGCGCCGGCTGAGAGGATCTTTGGACTTCAGAGGGTAGGAAGAAATGTGGCCAGTGTAGCAATAGTATACGTAGGATGCCCAGCTGCACGAACAGTTTGAGTCATTTTGAGCTAGTCAGAAAATGTAGCTTACGTTGTGAGTGCCGTGTTCCGAACCAACACCATTCGCTGTGTCGGAGAAAAGGGTTGAGGTGATGGCTCAGTCCTCAGTGTGTCCGTCGAGCGGAAACCTGGAGGCCGCGTAGCCGCCAATGCCGCCCGGATGCTGTCTAAGTAGTAGACTCAACATGAGAGATCACCCCAGGCGCAGGGAGAAGGAGATAGACTCACTGTCACGGTCATCATCCGAACTTAAAGCACTGCTATCGGAAGTGATATCACTGAGTGCATCACTAAATTCATCCAACTCATGCTCGTAATGTCCCGGGCCAGCAATATAGCTCTGGCTATAATGATACGGAGGGGGCTCGCTAGTAGGCACTCCTTGTTCTTTTCCCTTCGCTTTCGTTTCCGCTTTCTCCTTCGTCACGGTCTCCGTCTTAGTTTTCTCTTCCACTTCTTCTTCCTCCGAGTCGATGTCGCTGTCGAGGTAATAATCATATCGCTCAGTGGTGTCCATCATCAGCATATTTTCGCTGTCGTAGTGAACGAGTAAAGAATTTTTTTCGATAGATGCTAAAAGATAGGTTCATTATTACTAAGTATTGTTCATCCACCAAGTAAGATAAGAGATCACCTACAAGGGAGAACTGGCGCAACACCGGCGCCGTGTTCTAAACCTGCACTATTCGCATATACAAAACGAGTTTCTCCTGAAGACTTCCAAGTTGCACGCTTGGACATGGCATAGTACTTGGTGTCGATGAATTCGCCGTTGTTCATGGACTGCCTAAGAGCAGATGCAGTATTAATGAGGGGATCAGCAATAACTGGAGCAAAGTTTGCTTTTATAGCGACCGTAAACCACATGTAAGGGTGTGCAGCAATATCGTACGGCGAGAACGAGCCAATTAGCGCGGGGGGGCCACGGCCAAAGTCAGCAATCGAGACCGTTTTGCTGTCAAAAGAAGGAACCTCTCGAGTGGGCCCATCTTTAAGGTAAACAGACACCCTGGCGGTGTCTGTCACCGACGGCGAACAATGGGTATGATCGAGGTAAACCTTCACTTTGGCAAAAGACCAGCCTTCTTGAAAGTACTGCAGCCCAAAACGCCACCCCAAACCAAACTTTTCGCTGTAAACTATGGTTGAGCCCCCTTGTAGGCATTTTGCAAGGGGTTCTTCCTTAGTTTCCAGCTTAAAGATTGATGTAACTGAATCAGATACCTTCTGCATGGTGGATGAAGACAGCAAGAGTATGCTTAGGCGCCTCTCTGACGGTCTCTTATCTGCAAGGCAGTGCAGTGTGATGCCTCCATATTTAGGAGTTGATTGGCAATAATCGGATCCCGTAACTCTAGACCACTAACAGTGAGCATTCCAATGTTGACACGAGCTCGATAATACGCGTTAAGTAGGCCGCGTCAATGCTACAAGTTGGTAATACAATGCAAAGTCCACGCAATGAACAGATTCAAACAACGGACGCCATCAGGTTCAATTCTGGCCAGGCATCTGCATAATTAACGCAGTGAGAACCTGTCCAGCGTTGGGTATGTTACCCCTGGCCACAGCTTCCATTTTAGCTGGGAGACCCTGCGCAACTTCTGACGCATTCCTATGTTTCAGCAGGAGAGAAATTTCCATTACTCTGACGGCATCATGCCTTTGAGGAGTGGCAGTAAGCAACAAGTAGATGTATAACGAGATCATCAATACCTGGAAGTAAATTTGGAGAATGCCTCATCCAGTATATTGGCTGCGGACAACCTGGATTCAATGGCCTTTAAAGCAAGTCGAGATAATGGTTCATTGTTAAGCTGTAATTTTGAGCTCAGAAAGATACATTGACACAAATTTCATGGAGTTACCTTTCTAGCCAACTGATACATCGACTTCGGGGAGCAATGTGGTGGACCATCTTCTAAGCGACTCTGCTCGCCAGGTGTACTCTGAGACCGCAAGTTTGCAAAGTTGACGATGCCAGTGTAACAGTAATAAATAAAGGCGTGCCACCTGCAAAATCCATTCAGTGTCGCTTGTAACACGAAAAAAGCATACCTACGTCTTCCAGGCAACACCCTTGACGAGAATAACTCGAGATCCACGCTTTAAGTTCTCGCCGATCACAACTGGCGCTATCCCAACGTCTCCAACAAGTGATGGCCGGTTGTCCAGCTGCTCTTGAACTGTAAGATTGACAATGTCAACCTGACATACGTAGAGAGTTTCGAGTTTCAGTACCTTCGATGCTAGACACAGGCGAGATTGAACCAGTATCAGTCGTGTCTGTGAAGTGGTGATCGATGGGCTGTGAGATCAAAGCTTCAACGCTGGAAATAAATAAATAAACCTTCATATGATTTCTTATTGACTGGTGAAAGATTGTTGTTATTCATGACGAAATCATCGTCATCCAGGTCACTGTCAGAATCGTGTTCATAACTATCCAGGGAAGTGAAGGGGAGAGTGTCGCCTTCAGACAGTTCAAAGAGGGAGAACGAATTAAGGTTTCCTCCTCCGGCTGCCAACGGTACTCAGCAGCCATGCCATGAATAAGGATAGGAATATAACGTACAAAAGTCTGGCAAAGTTGTTTGCAGCACAGCAGTACTCGCATAAATCGGAATTGGTCTAGCGACTTTGCCGAGAGACAATCGACGAGTATATGCTTGGAATACTATGTCAAACGAAGTTCCCGTCTTGAGCGATTGCTCGAGGACACGAAGGGCAGAGCAGGCCTGAGACACTCTAGGCGCTTCGGCACTGGTAGGTGCATCCGGTACGGGCCTGACGGGTGCAGGTACAGTGAATGGCATACATGTCAGTGTTTTGGTTAAGGTGACCTCCAGCGAGACAATGGCATCTCCAAGCTTCTCAGCGGGACAAGTGATCAGCGGATGATTATCATTTGCGTCAAAACCACCAAATCCGAGGATCACAGCGATAGATGCGGCAAGGGACATATCAATATCAGGATGTGATGGAAAAGAGATCGTGACCTTGGCCAGTGTGCCACACCATACATCCGGACAACTATGGGAATTGAAACATAGCTGAGTCTTCTTTCCCTTTTTACGGATAGTGAGGCACCAGCCAAAGCCCGTAACCTGAGGAGAGTGAAAAGGAGGCCTCTTTGGAACGGCAGAAATAGCGGCTACGGAGCCCAAACGAAACAACGTCGTAATGGAACCTGAAGCCGAGGTTTCTTGTAGCTTTTTGATGACGGACATTGGTAAGGTGCACTAGGACCTGGGACCACTTGTTATAAATGTGGGCATCCAGAGACCCCTGGAGCTGCATCGTGACTCGGCATGTATTCAAAGTCCATTATGATCGTGGGTTGATCAAGGAAAAGGAAACTCGAGATGTTTGTTACTGGCACCCACAAAGTATCAAGGAAGTACTCTCGGTAGTTTTAGATATTAAATGGCAAGTTCCGAACCTAGACAAACAAATATATACACAAATCCCCACGATTCATCGGACGGAAGTCAAGGAACCCATGAATGCGAATCTCGTAGCGAGAAAATATTATTAGCAGGGTGGAAATACGCGGAGAAAAAAACATATCAGTGTCCGTATGCCGCAGCATCAATGAGTGTGGGGAAGATGCAACAAAGAAAAAGCACGAAACGAGCCCACAATGGTTGTGGCCGAGTGCCTATTGCACCTGATGTTGTAGTGTTAGTTGCAGGGGGCGTTGTGGATGTCGATATGTCCATGGGCTGATTTTACGATGAAGACCCCTAGCCATGCGATTGGCTGCTCGAGCTGAGCTGAGCCCAAGCCTGGGTCACGCCCAAGGCTTGGGCTCGAATTTTGCAAAGCCTAAGCAAGCAGCTTGTCATCTGTTTGATGCTCCTAGTCACCCTCATTCATGTAAGGTTTTCTAGCACCCGCCACGTCACCTTCACATTTTGCAGCCGCAAAAAGTAGCCTTCGGCCAGGTTGGGTTCAGACTAGGCTTGAAATCTGGTGAGTGACTTGCTTGTCTAACACCAGCTGCGCAGGCTCCGCCCACCGCTGTCTCGACGTCCATGATGAGCTAGGGCCAAAGCTACGCCCCGGGCCGGGGACTCTGATGTGATGAATAATGTAGTGCGCGCCAAGTATAAGAGTACGACGGCTGACCAAGTACTCTTACTGAAGCACCTGACCAAGTTCAGTCCGAAGCAGAGCTGGTAGCCTGGTTTCCGCGGTGACGTAGAACTATCAAGACATGAGACTCGTACAGTTCTGAAAAGAGTACAACATCAGTTATATTAGGTTCTTCGTCATGGGAGCATAGTACGACATGCCTTCATATAGCTGTGTACATCCGAGGCGGTGCTTGAGGTACAACGTGTCAGAATTCGATGGGGTTCTGCATAGATGTTAACGAGCGAAGGGCACCGGGGCAGGGCATGACTCAACACAACCACTCAACATAGTTTAGCACTTTTGAAACACCATTAGTAATACTCGCGAGTATCTACAGACATCGCAGTTCGTAAGTACAATTAGAATGTGACATAAGATACATACAGAGTAGGGTCAGCCCTGTACTGCACACATAACCTTACAGCTGTTTGCAAAAAAATCCAGACTGTATTCCAAATATATCAGCCAATGTTGTATGAATTCACGTGCTCGTAGGTTGACAAGGATCGAAGAGGCTGGGACACTGTGGATGACGATTTGCGGACTGGTGGCGTGGTACTTGATCAGTTGTTGATGCTCTCATTCAAGTTGTTGATGTACTCACGAGTCTGTGATAGAAACCCATCTCATTGTGTTCAACGAGAAGCGTGGATCTAGTGTACAACACCAAGTACCGGAGGACTTATTCATGCATGAGTTCGAACAGAGATAAGACGACTGACCCAGCTCATAGAGTAGCAGAACGGCGTACTTAAAAATGTTATTCCTCCCGCCAAAGAAAAGACAGGTGCCCGGATCCGCTGTCCACCCACCACGAGCATGATTGTCACAAAAATCAAAGACCACATCACATACATGTACTAACCGGCGTCGTGTTTTTAGAATTAAAGACCGGGGAAGTGTCTGATATGAGATAAGAGACCACAAAACAAACTTGGTAGTGGTTCGGCATCATGCACGATGCATCAAGAGCCTTCTACAGTGAAAGGTGAACGAAAAAACATGATTTCTGTGTATTCTCATACCACAATATTGTCCTCTGCGCAAAGCCTGGTCCTGCGCAGCATCAGGGAGAAGACTTCCTTACAAAAGTCATTCGAATGATCGAATGCTGCGATTCATATATAAAAACTCTACGAAAAGGTGAGACTCCATGAGAGATTGTGTTCACCATCATTTGATTTTCGATGTACGTACCACATATCAGAAGCCCTGCGTTATATTACTCCCGGGATTCTAAATTCAAAGCTCTTGTTTTGAATACTTGACGTGCAAGTTACCTCGCAACACCCAACCCCTCCTCCAAAAACTCTGCAAACGCACGTCCCACAGCGTCCTCTCCCCACTCCACCCTCCCTTTTTCCGTGCTTCCCAATGTCACAGCTTTCCGGCGCGCAGCCACGAATTGGCGCTTGAGCCGTTGCAGCTCTGACAGCGTCAGTGCACGATGCGGGAGTGTTAAGCGAACGCGGAGCACAGAACTATCATTTGCACTGGTATTCGAACTAGGCTCGAGCGTATCGATGGTGAGGACGATAGGACCCCCGAGCGGGCCAGCAGCCTGAGCAGCCATGAGCGCAGAAACTAGTGCATTTGTCGTATGCTCCAGAGTGCGGAGGGCGTCTGTGGGTGCTTTGGGTGTAATCTGGGTGCCGACGTTTGGAGGTTTGATGATGCCAGTTGTGACTGCATCTGATATGCGTTCGAGTGGGGGTGTTGGGTCGTCCCAGGGGATGGTAAAGAGTGGAGCGTCCCAGCGGACCATGGATGAGGGCTCTTCGAAGCGTTGGATGAGGGCGTCGAGGCTGTTTGAAGTTAGGAATGGGTGGGGAGATAGAGAGGGAAAAGACGGACGTTTGAGGCTTATATCTCTTCTCATCTCGTCGTTCGTCGTTCCATTTCCGACATTGATCAGGCGTAGCGAGTACATAGACCTACTTCTCTCACCTGCATTAGTTGTGCGAATGAGAATATCGTGATCTATTACACACTGTAGCGACCCTTACGCCAGCCTCTCGGGCTTTGCAATACAGTTGGTATCTGAACCCCTTGATGTAGTTCATCCCGTCTACGATGAGGATTGTGTCTTTGGCGATGTGCCTTGTGATAGCGGTGAAGAGAGTTGCGCGGGCGATCTTCTCTTGAAGGGAGTCTAATTTTCGGAGGTCAGTCAGAAGGGAAGGAAAAAGATGGGACAATATGTACCATCATATGACACACGGCCGACGGCCAAGTCATCATCTGAGATAACTTTTACTTTGAGCTGAGGGCTTGAAGCTGATGAGAGAAAGTCGTAGATTTGGGCTGTGCGGGTTGATTTTCCAGAGGAAGGGTAGCCTGAGATGGTGATGAGAGCCATTGAATGAGCCGAAGACTCAGATCCAGAATGTCAGAGATTTAGTCAGTCTGGAACAACGTTAAGTTACAAGTCTGCGACAGCAGCCAACGGCACTAGCCGATCAGCAGAGTCTAATGAGTTATTGAAAAAACACTCATAGTTGTTCAGGATTATAGAACCTGCCAGTACCATATCCAAATCATCATCTCAATAGTATTCACGTACTATGACATGAGCATCTCTGCTATCACCAACCTGAGGCGATAAACAGAGAAAAACAAGGTATCCCAAGTTCTATTTGACTACTACCGCAATAGCCATCCAGCCGGCAGTCATTAGTGCTGATAGCCTGATATGTACAGCTGTTTGCAAAAGTAGCTAGGTGGGTCTGGAAATTGACAAAAGGTTGCGTCGCGGATGTGATTCCTTCCAGTTCTTAGAGTATGTGACACTATGGGACCATTATGATCGTCCCAAGTAAACTCGTTTTGTGGCAGAGAATGGGGCCGGGTTTGATTGTGCAGAAACTAAGTGAATGTTTACAAATTGAAGGCGCAGGTCCATGCAGCGTTGCTGTCGACATTGTAAAAAAAAGACGCTCTAAATCGGGTCTTACAATGGACTATCAGATCGGAAATTGAGTTGGAACTATGTCAGAACATATGTAGATAAGGCCGGGTCGGTGCAAACTTGCAAAGGAAGATTAATTTGTATGAGGATATTATAAGACCAGGTGGTTAGAGAACGTTTTGGATAGAATGTTGACCGCGTGGAGGACGGTAAATTAATTAGTTTGTGGAGTAGATGAACTTATATCATGCGAAACAAGCTGACCGCTGGTATATCATCTAGCATGAACGCTAGATCGTCATACACACCCATCCTCCAATATGACCCTAGTATCAAATGATCCCAGTTGGTGGCCGTTCATCAATTCAAATATTTTTAACAACTATTGGATTGGTTCGTCTGGCATATTGTTTAGTGATGTCTCAATCTAATGGTAACATCCACTTGTCACGGTGGTTTTGCAGTTGCCGCAGCCTTCGTGGTGGTATACGATTGGGGTGAGCAGCACAGTGTCCGAAAACCGTTGATATTCTCATGATACCTCCAGTACTGACACTCGGAGAAGAGGTAGGTCGGTACCATTGCCGGAGCAGCCAAATTACTGACAATGCTGCCATAGATTGAACTGATCTGGGTAAGTCACATAGTCTCATCAGAGGAAAAACAATGAATTTGTGACAGACCCAACGCTGGTCTCTCATGACTGTGCTGTACCTAGTCGTCCGTACCTCGTGTTATACCATAGCATGGTTCGCGGTTGTGCTGACTCCAAAATGTTCTAGATACGCTATGTCGGAATATCATATTCTGCGTATGTTAATCGAAGCCAAAAATTGGTTGCTGTACTGATAGCCCGTCTCTTATGATCAGTGCTAACATTCTGGGTATGTCTCATATTCACTGTGTTCGATTCTTCTGACCGGCGGGACACAGGAACCACTACGTTGGTCTCATTGACAGATGCAGTGAGTATTCTGCAATCACTTCATTCCTATCCAATGAATACATTCATTTGTAGGGGTGAGTGTGAATTGACCATCGGACTTGGCTCCACATAATGACTCAATAGGTGTGAGTCGGAGCATTTGATCCTAGTACGAGGGTGACCACTAATCGGGTGTTTCAGGCAATATCGTAAACTATGCAGTAAATGGGACAAATGTGGTCGTAGCTGCCATGTTGGGCGGTGAGTTGCCCAGCTGCGATACCTCAGTGATATTGACTCGACTGAAATATGATCCAAGTCATCATGATGGCTCGGTTGCATGCCATGTATCAGAGATCTAGGAGGATGCTTATCTTCCTCGTTATCATCTTCCTAGCTGCAAACATCGCCTGCGGAGTAATCACGATCATAGGACTCAAGTATGATTTTGTATTGGGTAAGCTTTACTTGTTGAATTGAAGAACATGGCTCATTAAACAAATACCAGAGGAAGTGATACTCTATGGTATTCATATGTGCGCTGACGGATCTGAGAGGGATTCCCAGCTTCTGATATCAATGGTCTGGATGCTTAACACTGTTTGGGAGGTCCTCGCACTGTGTCTTTCAGTCTGGATCGCTGCGAAGCACTTCCGTGACCTGCGACGACTCGGCCCATGGACGGGATCGACCATCGGGGACTGTTTCAGAGTGCTTATGGAATCCCACGTGCTTTATTTTGCAAGGTGAGCTTGTAATGTGAATGTGCTTATCGTTTTCTGCTCAAGTTCCGCATGTGCTAGCTTTGCCGGTGTATCTTGCCTCCAGCTTGTTACCCTCTCTCCAGAAGTCGAGGTGCGCCAACATGTCACTGACATCTGCATGTGACCATTGCTCATCATTTCTGTAGAATCAATTCGATTCTGTAGCAGTTGAGATATTCGATGGAGTTTTTGAAATTTTATTCTCCGTGCAGATGTTTGTGCTGGGACCACGCCTCATCCTTAGCGTTCGACAATATCACGCTAAACTCGTGGCCGAATCCGATGCAGAAACTAGCATGAATTCGATCTTCTTCCAGGAGCGTGTGCATGTACCAACTAGTAGTACTGTGTAGGAAATGGTTGCAGAGTATTCCCCATGGAGGAGATAGAGGATCCGTCATATTTATTTTAGTTAATCCCGAGGCGATACTGCACACAGATGGAACCGATGCAATTTTTTGTCCTCTTGAGCCATTCATACATCGACGTAGGCGGGCAGTACGATGGTATGGAACAAGGGGGGACTGGGGGTAGCAGAGAGAGCGAATGTAGTGTCTACTGTGGCAAAGTTCGAGAAGAAAGGATTTGTCAGTGAGGTTGGGAAACTGATGATATTCTTGAAGTGGCTACGGAAGGACGAAATGAGCCTAGGATGGTGGGGGAACGAGCACATATATAATAAGGATCATCGCAAGTAGTCACGTACCCGGTCAAGGCAAGCCCTGCACAAAATCAGTAGTGTCATGCCACCCTGTCGGGCCACAGGGATGCTCCTATATGTTTCAACTTTGTGTCCTCCATGGACGCAGACCCACTAGTGTGATCGATTGCAGTTCTTTACCGTCCGCCAATTCAGAAAATCAGGTTGGAAGCTTGTTACCAAGTTTCACGTTGATCGGTAATTTCCGCTCTCCTCTTCTAACCAGATGAAGTTCAAATTCAAGAAGCTGCATGTCCCATCCATCTTTGTTGACCGCGGTACACGATGTGCTCGCGCAGTCCGCGTTGCCTGTCCAAGCGACCAAGTCTGTTCATCCTCTCAGCACTGAATATACTACAGTAACTGCGCAACTTGGTGCAGTCATCAATACAACTCACCGCCTAAACCATGCGCTGAACCAGCTTAATGACCTACCCCTTGGCGAAAACGCCACCAAACTCGTGGCCCTCATGAAGGAGCACACAGCTTTGACATCTTCAATCAATCAATCAACGGCTGCCTCTGTTTCCCTCTCGTCTCTACTACGAGGAGACAACAGAGCAATTTATCCGGACGCAAGTCCTCCACATCCTGCAAAGATCGCGGAATGGGGCCGTAATCTTGGCATGGAAGTTTTCGTAGATGGGTCGACGACTGTCCTCGCAGGAAAAGTACTTGTACTTGATATTGATATCAACGACCATGTCGCTGTCAAGACGTCCTTCGCCAATAATGCAAACGGCAACGGGAACACATCGGCAGCACCAGAGCTAGACGCCTTTCTCGCGCAGGAAGTGACCCGCTGGATTAACGCAGCGAGACGCGCTGCTGGCATAGATTCGGCTGTCGGACATTTGAGAGAGGATCCTGCGATTGAAGCTGCACGCCGTAGCCGTGCAATACAAGAACACTTGCGATATCTCATGATGCTCGACGGGCTCGCGGCTGCCGAGAACGAGAAAGGACTTCGTTGGTTCATGGAGCCAACTGTAGTCTCGGATCACATCAGAAAGCAGGTTGTGTACGTTTGTTCTTTTGTCGTGCTTATTTTATACTGATGCGTGATATTCACAGTTCACCACAGATGGAAGATCTTGATAAATTCTTGACACAACATGCCCTTCCACTGCCATATCTCGTTGCTCCTTCGCTATCATTCATAGTCTGGCTTTCACCCCGTGGATACCTTCAACTCCTTCGCAGCTCTCCGCCATCCAAACAATCGTCAATGTGGAACATTGACATCCCTATAGCACATCTCAAGACATCGATGCTTGATACTCTAGAAGATGTCACCATCGCTACGCTAAAATTGGTCCCTTGCACTGAAGTAGCAAAGTCCAAGATGGACTCGAGTGATGTCCCTGGAGATCACACGCTTCTAGCTGCTCCCTCGCAGATGTGGGTACTCGACTTCACCACTAAGCTACCACAGAATGGCGTGGTGATGTGCCAGGGTCGTATGCGTGTAATTCAAGGAATCGTTGAGTCCCGACCCATCGACATGATCTCAATGGGGAACATGTCTAGTATGGGTTCAATGTCAAGTCTAGGTAACATGAGCAATATGAACTTTGGAGAATTTGGTGTGGCGTCTTCACAGACAAATGGAAGCGGAGGAACTGGTAGAAGCTGGGTTGACTTATTGGTCAGTCACTTCTCTCTACAGTTATAGGCATATGCATGTGCTGATACCTGTACCTGGTCTAGGTCAATAAAAATTCATCAGCGGAATACTACACTGCAACTTATGTGTGTGGAACACGCCCAGGTACAAACACACACTGACCATTGATCTAGAAGTCACCGAATGACATCCATCCACCGCTACACCTTCGCCTTCTAGCACCTCCAGAACCAGGTTTTCTCCTCCAGAGAGTCCCGGTGAGGAGTGTTAAACAAGTCTCGCGAGTATTGGAGGCAAGTTTCATCTCGACCAAACTGTTAAGTTATGCTTAGAGCATATTCTTCCAGGTTGTTAGAGGACAATGCTGGCTCAACGAATCACTGAGCATACTTCAATGGTCGCCTGAAACTGCAGTGCTGAAATCATCCCATCGACCGTCAAATGTAGAACAGGGAATGCCACCAGAAGACGCAGCATCAACTACTCTGCTCGCCTCGGTCCTTGCGGGCACAGTTGCGCCACAATCTATTCCAGTGAACGTCTATCTCCCCTCCAGTGCTTTATCTGCATTGTCCCAACCAGTTGATCCATTTACATCACAACACAGCGGGCTTGGCATGGGTCCTCCTGCAAGCGCAGGCTCCAGCAGTGGTGCAAGCTTGTTCGGTCCGAGCGACTTGGAGATGGAGATGGATATTCCAGGGCTGAGCATGAGCATGGGTGGGAGTATGGACATGGATCTCGGCATGGATCTTTCAACCCCCACTGATCCCATGCAGCAGTCACATGGTCCTGAAACATGCCCTCCCCCGATGATCGTGCTCACCTCTCCGATGCCTGTGCCTAGGAACGGGTTGGTCGAAATACGGATCACGTCGGGCGAAGGACATGGAGAAAACGGTGTTTGGGTTGAAGCCTCTCCAGGTGTTGAGACAGGATACATGTCAGATGTTGTCAGGCGAGGAGGGGTGTGGAGCCTTCCTGGGCGAGTATGGAACAAAGGGTAATCGGCTGTTGGCTGGGATGCAAAGTTCAGCAAGAAAGATGTACTGTTGCCTATATTTTTAAATGAAGTTTGAGGAGCACTACATAGCAACATGGTGTCCGTGCATCGTAATCACATCAACGATTAACGTTTTTCAACAATGAACGATTTGAACGAAGGATATATATTAGGGGCTATTAAATAATATTGTTCTGATAAGTCACTTGTGGTAATAGCTAATTTATTTGAACAAAATTATCTTGATCATTTCGGGTACGAACGCATATTCCATTCAATTTCTTACTATCGAATTTGCACCGATAACTTCATCGGGAGACTGCTGTCCACACATTAAGGATGGAGAGGGTACAATTTCAGCAGGAGCAGGTTCGTTAACCCTTCAAAGGCTTGATTTTTGACTAATGGAACCTAGATGCTCGCAGAGCTCAAGGATCTCGTGCAAAAAAGTTTGTTCAACCAAGTGCGTGGGTCTCATACTATATCCCTCTAGTCCTATCTAACTCTGCTTCTAGTCTGAGGTTAAACAGATTGTGAAGAAACGTACACAGTTCGAAACCGCACTTGTCCGCCGCATCCCAAAAAAGAGTGACTTCCTGCGATACGCGGCGTATGAGATGAATCTGGAGCAGCTGAGGCGGAAGCGCGTTGAGAGACTGAGTATGTGCTAAGTACATCCATATCTCAAGGTTTCCAACTCGCTGACTGTCCTATGGTTTGTTCTCAGAACTGGAAAAGACAGCACCGTCAATATCAGATTACGCTCTTGTTCGCAGACAATTCCAGATATTTGAACGTGCGCTCAAGAAATTCAAGTCGGACGTAGGATTGTGGATACAATATATCCAAGTCGCAAAACGTGAGGGGGCTCGTTCACTAGTAGGGCGCATAACAGCCAGGTGCGCGTCCAATTTGAAAGTTGGTCAGTCTGTTTTTAACCCTGCATATAGGGCCATCCAGCTCCATCCAAGAACCCCTGCATTATATATCATTGCCGCCTCTCACGAACTTAACCACATGTCCCCTTCCGCGGCACGCGCCCTCCTTCAGCGTGGTCTTCGACTCAATGCAGACAGCCTCGATATGTGGAGAGAGTACGTGCGAATGGAATTGGGTTTCGTCGAGGGGATGAAACGAAGGTGGACTGTGCTGGGAATTCATGAGGAAGATCACCCTATTGTTGAGGCAGAGACAACTGCTGTGGAAGATATGGCGACATTGACCCCAGAAGAGATAGCAGCCGAGAAGGGAGGTGACGAAGGCGAGAGGGCACGGCAAGCCATCATGGATGGTGCTATCGTCAAGTCCGTGATTTTGAGCGCTGCAAAAGGTCTGTTTGTCATTCCTCTATAAGGATTCATATTGAGTTGGACCACAGCTCTGCCTAGTATAAATTTATTTACAGCTCTCGAGGTCCTAATTCGTTCGTATCCCAGCCAAGAGCGCCTTCGCACGGCCCTTCTCGATCATCTATACAGTGTTCTTAAAGATACACTACAAGGCGACCCTCATGCGGTGAAAATGCTGGCGACAAGAAAACTTCGAGAACTTACATCTCAAGAGAATAGTGATGATTTTGTCATGGCCGAAAGTGAAGAATTCGTCGATGCCCTCCAAGCTGCAAATGAGTCTTTCTCCTTGGCTGTTGGCGCCGGTAGCACAAACGCCTCTGGGATGGCTGATGTCTATGTTGAATTTGTAGAGGAGTGGTGCAAGTTGCCCACGCTGGATCCGAATTTAGTGAGCCTAATGTTGTGCAGCTCTCGTGGATTTCAGCTTATCCAACAAAACTAGCGTGCATATCTTGTAGCTTCCCTCCGGAAACTTGCGCGACAGCCGAACGCGCCGCCTTCGTTGCAGGCTGCACACGTCCAACTAACATTGCCTTCCAAGAAGGCTCTCTAGTTTGCATGTAGCTATACCGCAACATAAAATCACGATGCCCCGTGGTCCAAATGGGACCAGATTCGTGGAGATTATGGGCCAGACGGGGAGACTATGAAAAATGTAGGATCAACCCAACGAAAGTGATCATCTTTGGTATTCATTTGGCTAGCTCTCTCTGCCACCTTGCTCGTGGCGAGATGTGCGCTTTGTAATCCATGTTACATAGTACTGCGTATGCACATCCATCATATGTCATGAACATATAACAGCAGACATGCCCTCGACGATAACACCTTCATTCTGCTCCTGCGGCGGACAAGCACTCGATTTTTCTCGAGATCAGAAACTGACACAGGAAAGGTGATCAGAAGTAATCGCCGAAGGTATTTACTTCCCAACGATCTCACCCTGCTTGATGTAATCTCATTCCAACGATGTTGGATGCACTGCCAGATGCTATGAACCCGTTTTAAGTCCTCTTTATATCAAGGCAACACCAGACTTCCGTGGAATAGCTTTCTTCTGCCCCCTCAGTAATGCCAAACTTCAGTAGGATCTTTTTCGCCCTAATATCTTTAGCCGCCCTCCCTCTGACTTGGGGTATAGTCAACGGTCCTGTCATCTCTGCCAACTTTCCTGATCCTGCTATCCTTGTTACTAGTGGGGGTACTTATGCATTTGCAACTAACTCCGGCAACATCAACATTCAGGTTGCAACGTCAACTGATGGTGGTGTAACTTGGGAACTGCAGTCTGGTGTTGATGCACTCCCGAATGTAGGGTCTTGGGCAACTGCAAACAGTACTTGGGCACCTGATGTCATTGACAGAGGGGATGGCACTTTTGTGATGTGTAGGTCTCGATCTTATACACCTCAGATGATATTAAACTAAGGTATGGCCTGCAGATTATGCCGCATGGTCGACCTCACACAGTACTCATTGCGTAGCAGCTGCTACTTCCGTCACCCCTGTCGGACCGTACACTCCTGAGTCGCACCCCATTGCCTGTCAAACTCCAGGCGGTGGTGCCATTGACCCCGCAGGGTTCCAGGATACCAACGGTACACGCTACATTGTGTACAAGGTGGATGGGAGCAGTCTTGGAGGAGGTGGACCTTGCGGGAATGCCGACGGAGAATATTCTACTCCCATCATGCTTCAGGAAATGGAGGCTGATGGTGTCACGCCTACTGGGGAACCGGTCCAGATTTTGGATCGAGGGCAATTCGATGGACCCCTCATCGAAGCTCCAGCGCTTATCTTGCATAATGGAACGTAAGTTGATATAACTTGAACATGTATTTGGATCCGGGACTGACCACAAAAATCATAGTTATGTGCTTTTCTTCTCCTCGAATTGCTACAACACCGATCTTTATGACATCTCATACGCAACTGCTCCATCCATTTCCGGCCCATACACCAAGGCTTCATCGCCGTTGCTTATAACTGGTGACGATGGCCTCACAGCACCTGGCGGTGCGACACCACGCCTTGATGGTGAGTTTATGGTGTTTCATGCAACCGTAAACACAAATCCGTTGACTCGTTATATGTATACGGCGATGGCGACGTGGAATGGGACTATTGTGAGCACATGATAAAATCACATCATGTTTCTAACGAAATGTGCACATCATGACTTTTACACACAATTGACTATCCTTATGACTCGAACTGCTTCTTGAAATGACTGGTTGTACCAGGCGCCTCAGATAGAAAAATCACTAACCTGGGCTGAGCAACTATCAATACATTACATACAATATGCACCGGTGTTAGCTTACTTATGCCAATTATTTTGAGCATTGTCGTTTTGCCTTATTTATATGTTGAATTACGACCTTATTCAAGACATTCTCGTGAGAAGGAGTAGTCGGTACGTCGAACACAGGACAACTTGTTTGTCCGTCGTTCCCACGTAGGGTCACTGTGTTGTAATACCCACCGCCATCGTTGCTGTGTTAATATTGTAATCAGATACGGGAATATGTTCATCCGTTTACTGATGCTACTGTTGGGCGTAGCTACTGCGGAGGGATAGCATACAAAATGTGGGCAACTGGGCCTCCTGAAGTCTTCTTACTTGTCCATCCGTGCACGAGCAAACTGCACAGTTCATTCCTAAAGGCCTAACTGATCATCTATACAGATGACGAACACCAGAGTCATGGTAGTGGGCGCTGGCATCGCTGGTCCCATTCTTGCAATCTTCTTGAAGACTAGAGGCTATGACCCCATCATGTACGAAAGACTCCCGAGTCCAGGAGAGGGTGGACTCAGCTTCGTGTGAGTACGCATGCCTCTTCCTCGTGATTGCCGTACTGAACAACCTACACAGGCTGCAACCCAACGGTCTCCGTGTCCTATCACTCATCCCCGGCCTCGTTGAACAAATCCCCGGCTATTCTGCAGATAGGATGGTTCACTGTTCCTCCCTGGACGGAAAGGAGGACATTCTCGCTGAGATTGATATTTCGCCAGATGCAGCGCGAGAACAATTTGGCTTCCCCTTCATCGGAGTCCGGCGTGCAGAGTTTCAACGGTTTTTGATCGACACGGCTGAGAAGCACGGTGTCGAGATCAAATGGGGTCACCAGGCAATCGAATATGAGCAAAGCGAGGACGCAGTAGAAGTCACATTCGCGAATGGCGTCAAGGACACAGCAAGCTTTGTCGTGGGCTGCGATGGGTTGCATAGCAATACTCGAATTGCACTCTTTGGGAAAGAGAAGGCGAACTTCACTGGATTGGTACAGGTACGCTCGTTTTGGTGACGGTACTGAGGTGTAGGCTGATATGAATGTGATTTGCAGTTCGGTGGACTATCTCCAACACCACCTGCTTTCTCGGGAAAGTTTGTGTTTGTGAATAATTACGGGAATGGTCGCCATATGGTTTCGTACCCTATTGCGGAGGACAAGTATTCATGGGCGTAAGTGTTATTTCAATTAATGTCTGTGGGTCTGATTATCCTGTGATTCAGGATCACTACTCGACAAGCTGAGGCAAAGGAGGATTGGAAAACACAACACGTGGAACAACAGGACGAAATCCGAAGAGGACCCCTCTCTGATTGGGGGTTCGGTGCCGGAGATTTGGTAAGGACCGGCCAAGGTATCATAAAGGTTGGTTCACTCTCGCGACAAACCTTGAGTTCTCTGAAATGGATGGCTTGCTGGCAGTATGGTCTCTACGACCGACCTGAGCTCAAGTCGTGGTTCAAGGGAAGAATCGTTCTTTTGGGTGATGCAGCTCACCCCACGAGTCCGGTATGTAATTTTATCATCGAGTTCCATGGCGCTCATCGATATCATCATACCTAGCATCTGGGACAAGGTGCCAATCAAGCGTTTGAAGACATTTACCATTTAATGCGGCTTTTGAAAAAATACAACCCTTCTACTGGCCAGCCTTCGACAGAGTTGTTGTCGCAAGTCTTCATAGATTATCAGGATCTTCGGCTACCGCGTACATCCGAGCTAGTGAGGGGGGCTAGACAGCAAGGGGAGGTTCGGGTTATTGAAGGGATTGAAGCATGTAGGGTGAGAAATGAAAAGATACGGATAGGGTTCCATGATGAAGCGGCGAGGAAGGCAATGAGTGAATTGTTAACTGGACCGTTTAAGGACAGTGAAGTGTAGTAGCCTTGTACTAGTACAGAATTCGAACGGGACTTGCCGCATAACGCCCCGATTCGTGTCAGGAGCAGTAACAACAACACAAGCGTGTCCCGTGATTCCTGCATATTTCCACAACGTTGCAACCATGCATGACCCATTCGAAGTGAGAATGCAGTTCCTCGGGCTCATTCGCAAGCTGAACGCGTAAGTCATCGAATCCTGTTCGTCCGTCACTCGCTCATGTACATCTTACTACCACAACTTATGTCTGCTCGATGTTCAATTCAATGCATGTGATGGATTTGCATCAATCATGGCGAGCAGATCACAACAATCGATACAGAAAGTCGTTGCATTTGCATTGAAGTACTTTTCGAGATGTGGGGAGGATTTGTGGGAGTGCATTATTGAAGAGTGTCAGAAGGTAAGTGTTTGTTTTTGGTATTATTTCCTCGTCGATGCAGCATACCTCTTTTGCCCATTGTCCCTTTGTTATGAGATAATATCTGACGCCAAGTACAGGGTTCCATCAATCACCGCATAAATATTCTTTACTTTCTTGACTCCCTTTGCGAAACATCGCTACTAGCGAAGGCGCATCAACTCCCAGAACAGTCGTCTTCATCGTGAGTTTTATCATGCCTAATAACTCGACCCTGAATGATGGCACTGTACTAGAAGTAAGCAAGTCAACAACGCGTTGTATGTCGACTACGTCTCGCGGGATCTGACGCAGATTGTGGAATGCGTTGTACCTGTGGGTAGGCAAGGGCTACCTAATCTACCGAGTACAAAACAGGTGCGCCCATACTAGTCTCTGCATTTTTTCTTGCTTAATTCATAAACTTACAGATCTTAGAAAACTGGCGCACAAAACGTATAATAGAGCCACAAAAAGTTGACGAAGTCCTCTCGTTGCTCTCTTCTAGAGACTCAGCACCAGATACGACCTCGACATCTGTGGCACCTTCAGCAGCAAAATCAGAGCCCCATCTCTCTCGCGGCGAAATATTCAAGCGCATCGAAGAGGACCGAGAGCGACATAAACGCCTTCGAGAACGACGGTGGGTTCAGGCGCAGCCTCACTCGGGCTCTGCAGTCCCGTCTTATTCGATGTTCACGCTTGCGAGTTTCTTGCCGCTGAGCGACACAGAAAACGCCGAGCTTGCGCTGGATATAGAATTTGAAAATGAGTGGGAGGCAACGAGTGATTGGAATGAGGACGACGTGGAAGCGACCGCAGAGGAGAGGGAGCTTTGTCATCCACATCTGAAACGGAAGGGATTTACGAATGACGAAGACGAAGGAGAGCAAGAGATGGATATAGATCTGTCGTGATATAGTACTGTGCTACTCAGTGCAGAACGTGAGCGATGTTTCTAGATTCTGACACTGGATTCTGAAACATCACTCCCGTTGTGTCGTTATGGTCAGTTACGTGTAGTTGTTGTCAGATCAGTTCAGTGATTGATGTGCAGAATCACAGTGTCGTGTATAATTGGAACGATAAGTGTCAATGCGTTTCGAAGATGCTGGATGAAGAAACGGCACGCCATCAGGGAAACAGAGTGCTACAGAGCGTTCTGTAGCATTCTGAAGCACAATCTAACCCGCTGATGGTGGGCGCTACTCAAGCGTCAGTCTCCTGTCTTGAAGAATTTAGCCGATTATCCTTCTTCGCTCTCTTCAACTAGTCGGGGCCTGTGCAGCGGTGGCCCAGGACCTAGGTTGTGAATTTATCTAGATCATGATAATGATCCAAGCTTGAGGCAAGCTCACAGGCCATTATCCATTAATCCACCGATCCATCAATGCTGTGATTGTGCTGACATTCGAATTTCGTGATCATCGACGGTGAGTCATGATATATCATGATAAGTACAAAGTATATCCATTGTGCGTATCACTTTTAGTTTCTATTCTGTCACTATTTGTAAGAACAAATAGTGAATGGACGGATTCGCCCAGGTTTGAATCCGAGACACTGGCAGGCCGGGATGATCACTCATTGTCTCGAGATGCTCGAGGTGATTGTCACAAACTGTTCAAGGCGAAACACATATGAAGAGGATTCTTGTCACAGATGAAATCTACTGATATACCCAAGTGTCTGCAGATCAATGTTACTCCTCTCGTCGGGCCCATTCCACATCGCATCTTGCTTAGCACCCAAAGATATTCTTCCTTGAGTTTTGAGGACACATGTTTGAATCCCCATCCTTAAACACGCCGCTTTCCTGGTGACCATCCAACGTGTCAAACGAGAACGATGAGCTGTTCAGCATCCAAAAACCACGTACCTCATACTCGCAAGTCACCTCGTCGCCCTTCTTATCCATGTAGCTGCCGGACCATCAGTCATTTGTCTCGATGAACATGTGAGTGTGACTTACTTGCAATCTACGAACCCGTTCATCATGTTCCAAGAGCTGGTGACTAGTTTGTAGGTCACTACACCGTTGACACTCAACGTTTCTTGGCATGTTGCGCATGCAGCGTTGGCGCCAACGAGGAAGGCGAGCAGTGCAAGAATGGTGAGGCGGGAAGTGAACATCATAGAGCTTGTTGCAGTGAGCAATGCAAAGCCATAGGGGATGTGCAAGTATTTTATAGGCAGATGACCTCGCAATTTGCGAGATTTTCGCTTCGCCTCGGGCTGTTTAGTACATGTTACTCGCTTCGCGCTTTTACGAACGAAAAAGTTGAGAACGTTGGTAAGTCAAAACTTATTCTAAACAAGCTAAAGTGCACTTACTAGTGTGGCTCAATTGAACTAGTACTATTCGCAGGAACAGAAGACTCATAATTTTCACTGGTCAGAAATATGATGCTTAGTACGATGAGTTTACGGCGTTGGAGCAGTGGGATTACTTATCCGGATTCCCACTTCAACGTTGAACGTTGAACTATGACATCATATATGCATAATGGCCCGCCTTTGCTACAGTGGGGTTTGATGTAGTTCGCTAAAGCGTTCGGTCAAAAAATCGGCTGATCGACGATCGTTCTAGCACAGCTACATAACAACAATATTAATGGAGTCAGCCCAGTTTCTCGTACCCTATCATTACTTGAGCGGAAGCAACATTATCTCGACATAAACTCCCGCGAGCGACACGAGTAACGTCCTAGTCTCAGGAAAGAACACGAATTATGTACCTAGTAGGATCGTTTGGACTCTGACATAAATTTGGCTGTTATAAGTTATATTCTGACTCACTCGTGTGGGCGTACTATTGGTTACGTGATCGACCTACATTTCGTGAGCACAGAGTCTGACGGTCCACGGAGTATGTGATCCTAGTACTAGTGGCGCCGGGCCGCGACGGTGAGTCATCTACAGACCTTCAATTTGATCACTACAAGTCATCTTTTCCGTTACTCATAACATCGCACAAGCGAATACTCCATGCATGCCTGCCTACTCATTCCAGAGATCGTAAAACTCATTTTCGCCAACGTTCATGTCTACGGCACCGATGGTTTTTCAGTCGTACATTTTATAGATCTCTACTCCAAACTAGCCACGCGACGGTATGTGGCTGGGCGACATTCTCTAGCCGCTCTCTCTCGGGTCTGCCGTTCCTTCAAAGATATAGCTTTGGATGCGTTATGGGTCAAGCTGGATAGTCTAGAACCTCTTTTCGCTTGTCTCCCACGAGATTTATGGACCATGACTGATGATAGGAAGCTTGTATGTGCTGTATGCCGCGATTCTCACCCATCGTGCTAACTTCTTTCATGGTGTCACTGTTAGCTCATACAGAGACCTGTAACCGAAGCAGATTGGTCGGTCTTCGAGCAATATGCATCTCGGGTGCGGATTTTGGGAAACGCAGATTTTGATCTTTTCGGAGGCATAGACGCGGAGTTTGTCTACGCCATGATAGGTTTTTGTTCACAGTCGCTCCTGGTGCCCAACCTTCGAATACTCTGCTGCAAAGGATATCGATATCCTGATAGTTTTCCATTCGTGTATGCGTTACCTCCTGGGTCCCAACCTCATTCATCTGTTTGTGGTTCCCCCAACGAAGGGTTTTTTGTCCAGCACCATGCCTTCAGTGTTATCAGATCTCGACAGGCATTCACCGCAATTAGAAGTCATCGAGTTCGTCGGACCACATTCAATGTGCCCTCGAGTCGGTGAGCTTGCTCTCTGTGGGCTCACGCACCTGCGGAAGGCAACTCTCATCTTTCCAAGCCGGGAAGATCTGTCCTGGTTATCTCGTATCGTTGGCCTTCAAGAGTTGCGGATCGTTCTCGCTGGAATTCTCCCTCCCCTCAGATCTCAATTTCGTACCTCTTACCTGGAAAAATTAGTCATCCACTCATTTAATTTGACCACGAGTGGAAGTTCAGTAGCAGGGTGGGTTGTTCCATGCAGACAGCTGCAGCTCATTCCCACCTTTACTGAATCCGCGGTTGCCGTCGAACGTGTCCTGCGCATGTTGGACCAACGTCTACTTTTTGATGTTCTGGAGCATATCCTGATAGACGTAGTATTCGAGCCTAATCATATCGACAAGGCATTCACCCTGCAAACATTCACTCCCCTTATGCGCTTCTCCAGTCTGAAAGAGGTCGACCTTTCGACATTTTGTATGTCATTGCTTGATGACGATGATCTTGGTTCTATCGTCAAGTCCTGGCCACGCCTCGAGTGCCTTTATCTCGGGACCAAATGTTTCTGGCAGACGCCACCCAAAATAACCTTTCGGGGTCTTGTGACCTTACTTGCCACCTGCCCCGATCTCAGAAACCTCGGTTTGGTATTCGACACTACGAAGGTAGCTTCGCCTACGGCTGAGAGATTAGGACATGGGGTCTGCAACACAAATATCACCCACTTTCATGTTGGGTGCTCTCCGATCGAACAACCACTCGAGGTTGCGGTCTTGCTTTCGGTAGTTTTGCCGTGCTTGGGAGAATTTCTTGTCGAGTCCTGGCTAGTTAAGCCTGGGGGTGAGAGCGGTCCTGACCGACAGGCACGAAATGCCAAGTGGGGAGAGGTATTGGAGCACATTAGCCATACTTTGATCAAGCAAGAGAGTAACGCCACAGTGAAGACCAGGGATGTGACGAGCTAGTTCACCCGAAAAGTAGCTTGTCGCGAGCGATTGTTGAGAGGTTAAACGTGGTTTTCAATAGTAGTTTCTACTGTGACCACTACACCATGGTCCATACCACCAATATCCATAGTGATGCCATATGGGTCCATGTAGTTTGCAAAGGTACTTCTTGTTTCATTAAAAACTTAGAACCTGAGTCGACGTAGAGCGGGTGAGGTGTCGATAACTTGCACTAAACTTTGAACTGGATATGGTGGAGAACAAGAAGCACAATAATGCAATCGACAACCCGCTAATAATAACATTACATACATATGCTGGACAACCACAAGGTTTTTGGAAGAGGCTATGAGAAAACAACAGTATCAATAAGGGATAAGCGCAAATAAAATCACGACGTCACTGGAGAAAAAAAGACAACATAAGTTCAAGATCAAAGAAACACGAACACCAGGTACTTACTATAACTAGCGGGATCAATGTGATCAGGAAGCTCGGGCACGGCGACCTCAAACCGTAGCTGGATGGCAGACATGACTTGTTGGTCTGCCTCACTGGATTGGAACGTGATAGCTAGACCCTTCGTTCCGAAACGACCTGCACGGCCGACACGGTGAAGATAACTGTCGGCGTCTGGTGGGCAGTCGTAGTTGATCACGATATTGACACGTTCGACATCAATGCCACGACCAAAGATATCGGTTGCAACGAGGATACGCTTTTCGAAGGCCTTGAAGGCAGTGTAACGATTTATACTAAGACAGGCATTTAGTACAGAACGCCCAAAGCCATGAGCAATTACTCACCGCTCCTCTTGAGCCAAGCCTGAATGGATGCTGATACTGGGGAAATTACATGAAACTAGGAGCTTGTCCAGCTCGACGGCTCTTGCAACAGATTTGACGAAGATGACGACCTGGAAATCGTTGATAAACACGTCTTGTTAGAGAAGACGGATCGTACTTGGTTGAACTCTAGGACATCCAGTAGCTCATTTAACTTCCGGTTCTTCGCATTCTCATCAAGCTTCACGTAGTGTTGCTGTAATCCGTGCAGCGTTAACTTCGTCTCGTCATCAACGAAGATCTCTAAAGGCTGCGGTAAACGTCAGTCAGAAATCCAGAAGAAAGAATGCATAACGTACATTTGCCATAAATTTCTTGCACGTAATCCTGATTTCTTTTGCTAGCGTAGCGCTGAACATCATCACCTGCTTGTGGTGAGGTGTTGCACGGAAGATTTCTTGGACGTCCCGACGCATGTCTACGAATCAAACAAAGCACAGCGGGGAGACGCGGTTGGAATTGTAGCCGAATTCGAATTGCAGGATGAGACTAACCGAGCTGTTCGAGCATTTTATCGCACTCGTCCAAAGTGAAGTGCTTGACGTTCTTCGCATCCAAAACTTTTTCTCTCGTAAGGGCATTGAGTCGTCCGGGAGTGGCCACAACAATGTGGGGACACCGCGTCTTGTCACGGAGGATCTCCGCATCTTTTTGGACAGGGGTACCGCCATAGAATGTGCCAATTCGTACGTCAGGCATATATTTAGCAAAGCGCGTGTACTCGTTCTTTATCTGGAACGCGAGCTCGCGGGTATGGCAAAGTACAATGACGGAAACTTCGCCATTGACTGGCTCAAGTTGTTGTAGAGTCGCAAGCACGAAGACCGCTGTCTTGCCATGCCCTGACTTTGCTTGGCAGAGGACGTCCATTCCCAAAACAGCCTGAGGTATACATTCTTGTTGGACTGTTGAAAAAAGAATTTGATGAATTAAGAGCACCGTTCTGAACGTCACTAAAGCATACCTTCTGAGGGGTGTTCAAAACCCAAATCACTGATAGCCCTCAACAACTCAGGTTTCAACAAGAAGTCCCTGTGAGAAAAGGAGACAATTCACAAGATGAGTATGGTTTATGACACCCTAGAGAGGAAACAAACCTGAAGCCTGTTGAATGTATTCCAGAGAAGTTTTTCTTGTCTTTGTCGCCCTCGCCGTCCACTGTTGACGCCGGTGCTCCATTGGTAGAAGTAGCTGGGACTGCACCATTAGGGATAACGTCGTGCTCATCCTCATAATCAATAAGTTCCTCGTTGTCGTGAGAGCTCATTGTTGTGCAAAAAGAATGTAGGTTGTCAACTTTAGAGGTCGTCGACAGGAAAGCGTCCGGCGAATTCCGAACACTGACTCCTTTCGATCTCCGTGTTCCGGGGTCCTCGTTAAAGCAACTTTACGGCTACATACTCAAATTTCTTAGGCAAGTCTGAGTAGCTTGAAAATAGTACATACAACACTCCTCAGTAGTCTTTATCTCAAAACAGGCATGTGAGCGAGGGCCTTTCAAGGGATATTTCTAAATCGTGCAGTCAGTCGTAGAATGCTTCTCATTCTCATGTCTGCTAGTTTTAGCAGCATTGCTAGGAAGCTCGGTGTATTTATGTGTCCATGTCGCCTTCGCTGGTTAGATTCAATGGCATCAATCACCGCCGTCATTAGAGGTGGGCTTGAACGTGCTCGTCGTCTACTGTGCACGCCAGCTGACCCTTTTGGTTGCACAGGAGCAAGACGTACTGCGCAATACGAAACAATGAACTATATTGAGATTAGGGAGACGCTCATCTGTCGTCGATTAAGTATGTCAAATGATGATCGTGTAAACCACAAGATACCGATAAAGATAGGCAGTGTTTTCTCCAAGATAACAGGCGTAGCGCTCCGGTCTGTCGCGATTGGTTGATCCCGAGTCTCCACCAGGCATCAACGTGTCGCTAGGATCGAGAGAAATAGCCTTGCTCCAAGAAACGTGATCGGAAATTTGTGAGGATCGAGCATTGTCCTTCTGGAAAATTCATGGGCAGCCAAAACCTTGAGACGCCAAGACCTTCGATTAAGAAGAGGCTTGATGACCCCACGAAACATTGCAGTGCAGCCATTAGTTTAGCATGGGAAGGGACCGAAAGCACTGTTGCCAATAATACTTTGAGCACAGACTCGCACTGGATTGTCGGCAATTTCAGCCACGACCAACCTGCACTCGTGCAACTTCACCTATTTCAGGTAGACACCCTACAGGAGGGAGTTGGTCAGCGACATATAACTTAAACCCACCCTTTCCTACAATAATAATCGAGCGAGGAAGCAGGAATGCGGTCAAATGGGGAGCTCTCACCTAATGAAACAAGGCTTGCGAAGACGCACCTCTGCCTTTATACTGTCTCGTACCGTATTAAATGATACCCGAAATGTATTTGTCCATGCCCTGACAGACTCGGACTCGTCGACGCCAGTGGCAAGCATAGGGCATCCGATTATTCAAAGGCGGCCTGACGCCACGTGATCTGGGTATAAGCCCCATTTGCTTGGTGGATCTGATTTCATCTTCTCTCAGTGAAGCACTTCTCTGCCTTAGAGCTTCTTAGACGCGACAATTCTTTGATTTTATTCCATTAGGAGCGGCAATGGGTGCACGGCATGCACTCATCGACGAGGGTCATTTTGCCCGCTGCATTTGAGGTCGCTGAAATAGATAATCTCGCTCTTCTCATAGGTAACTCGAATCCAATACTATGTGATTCATTTAGATCTAATTGACATTTGAAGCTAATATGCTTGAACGATTGATCGCTCATAATGACAAGATACCACTTCTACCGTATGTCCATCTCAAAACCATTCTTATCGTCCCCCTTCATTATTTTCATTCCCAGCGAGAGCCTTACCCGATTTCACTCGAGAACCGTACCAAACATCAGCGTCCTCGATTATCTCCGGCGTATAATCAAATGGACAAAAGTCGAGGTCCGTATCCATTAATCAATATTTAAAACCATCCGTCTCACCCGTATCTCAGAAATCATGCCTTCTCCTCACACTACACTATGTCGACCAAATCTGCGCCCGCATGCCCCTCTTCACCCTCTCCTCCCTCACCTGCCACCGCTTCATAATCGCATCCATCACAGTCTGCAGTAAAGGCCTCTGCGACTCCTTCTGCACAAACGCCCTATACGCCCGCGTAGGCGGCATCCCCGTCCCAGAACTAAACATCCTCGAACGCGAATTCCTTCACGCAATAGACTGGCGCTTAATGGTTCGCACACATAGCTCCTCCTCCCCCCCATACTTTCCTCTCACATTTTCGCAGTGCACCCGCGAAGTCCTTCAGGAATATTATATCAATCTCATTAGAACAGATAGCTCGGGCCGCTTTGGGCTTGAAGGCGCACCGGAGTCGGAGGTGGAGGATAGCGATATGGACAGCTTGTCCTCTCGCTCGGCGTCCCCTATGGACGCACAAGTCCGCCATCGCCCGTCGTTTAGCCTCCTGGGCAACCGCGAGTCTTCAAGCGTTTTGGGAGATACTTCTACGCTCCCTACTATCGAACAGAACATGGCGTTTGCTGCGTTGCAGCATTCGCTGAAGAAGCCTCCATAGACCTAGGAGTTCGGTTTGGGGTTTCGGTTTGTTGTACCGATGCGGCATCGTACGTACGTACGTACGCACGGACGCACTCCCCGGCGATATTTTTCGTCACCGGCTCATCATCTCGCGCCATAGATTGGCATTTAGTCATCCGAGCGCCATGCGTCAACGTTCAACGTCAACTTTTATCCCCCCCAACATCTTTCCGTCTCTGCATATATACATACGCACGTGGCTCGCAAAAAAAAATCATTGTAATCACAACATAACTTACAAAGGATTACAAAGATGTCCGAAATTCAATGAATGACATGGGTTTACGAGTACCTACTGTAACGAGCGACAAGGCCAAAACCAGTGAATTTACGTTTTTTTCTTATCTCGTCAAAAAAAAAAACGAATCTATAGTATTGTATGCGTATCAAGTAATGGTGTAATACAGTCCGAGAGCGAATTCGAATGAGCGTAGTTGGTTGGGTTTTTGTAACAAAGGTAATGAAAAATGCAATGATTTGGTTGGTTTTGGTTTTTTTTGAGACTTGCACGAGTTTGAGGTTTGAATTGGGTTTTGTTGGAGATTATTATGCACAAATAAGAAGTAGCAGCACAATATATGCACAACGACCTTTGAGCCTGTACCCAAAGCCAGCATGAGCGGATGGATTACAATGATGAAAAAGGCTGGTGTTCGCACCGTAAGTAGTTGGGTACCATACAATACATCGACCGCCTCCACCACGACAACAGCACCTACAGGCCATAAGCCGTCTAACAAGAACAACAAAAACACACACACACACTTCCGACTTTCACAACGTACACCCTCATCAGAGCCTCAAAGCAGAGAGCATCTTTGCCAGCGCATGGATCTGGCCCTTCTGCACCTTTTTCGGCGTCTCCTCCTCACCACCCCCCAAATCAGTCGTACTAGTAGCAGCATCCCTCAGCGGCGCAGGCTTCTCGCTAATCGTATCCAGCTTCGGTTTCTTCGTCCGCGCTTTCCGCTGGGGAGGCTGTCCGAAGATATCGCCTACGGGATTAATATGGAGCTGCCGTGGAAGCTCGTCGAGTTCCCAAGGGACACCATTCATGACTATTACCAACTCATGTCAGCAACGTGCCCACAAAAGTAAATAAGAGGATGTACTCTTGATATTCTTCGGAACCTGTGTTGTAGCCTGCCCCCCATTCCTCCAATTGCCACTGCCACTACTCACACTCGTAGCAGTCGTCGACACGCTCCTCACGCTTGAATTGCTGTACCGCGTGAATGCAGAGGTGCTCGTGCTTGCGCTGCTCATCGAGCTTCGCCAGTTGGTGCTGCGGACGCTGCCTGGTGGTGAATGACCTCTTGTGCTCCCGTTTGCGTTGACGTTGGAGTTCCCGTTGTTGACAGAAGGAGCGGCGGTGCTGAAGGCAGTGCTAAACGTAGACGAACCAGGTCTCCGCCCGCGCGCCCACGTGCGTGCCTCGTCCGCCGGACTCCGCTGTCTCGTAAGCGGGTTGTACACACCACCATTGACACTCGTGCTCGAGTTGACATTGATAGCATTGTGCGTGTTGTACGGCGAGGGTTTGGGACCGCCGCTTGGATTTAGTGTAGGTTGGGAGAGCCCCATGATAAGAGTGGTGACGTTGCTCGCGGTGCCTGTCACTGGTGTCTCTTCCGTGGGTGTAACAATAGTCTTGCCGCTCCCGAAACCCAACTTCCACTTGCTTGGCTTCTTCGCGACTACAGGCCTCGGCGCTTCCGTCTCCACAGTGGCAAGCCTTGCAAGGCTCGAAGCATGACTTGCATTCCTGTCCAAATCAACGATACCAAGCGACGAGCGGCTTGCACCCCGACTCGCAAGACTGATCTCCCGTGCCAAGCTCTGCGAAGCGACAGCAAGCGTCTGGAGTGTCTCGTCCGTTGTCGTTTTCTGCGCTGCTTTTCGCGACCCGCGCTTTCCCCGTTTCTTCGTCGATCGTGACCGTCCGTCGTCGTCTTCGTTGTGCTCGTCTTGGCGCTCACGAGAGAGGTCTTCGGGTTCTTCGACGAGGACACCACCGACACTTGGAGCTCTGCTCAGTGACCTGCTGCATACGAGTGGGGTGCGCAGTGCTGCGCGGGATGAGGGGCGGCGAGAGGGCGGGCATGAGGAGAGGGGGTGGCCGAGTGTTGATGAGGCTGTGCTGAGGACACGCTTGTGGCCTCTGTGGGAGGGCTCGCGATCGCACAGGAGGGTAGGGAGATCCTTGATCCATGCACCGAATTGGCGGGCAGTGACAGGCATGTGGCTAGCGTCAAATGGGGGTAGGACGAATATGCGCTGGGTGAGGAACTCGGCGACGGGCCAGGTCATACCGGTAAAGCGCTGCATGAAAAAGTGGGCGCCGTGTGCGCGGAACAGAGAAAAAGAGGAACAGGCACCGTCAGAGGTGTCTGTCCATGGATTATAGTGGTACAACCTGACAGGAATATTAGAAATCATTCAAGAACGAAAAAGTAACATACATATTGATCAAGACGATACCAAGACTCCAGACGTCGCTTCTCTCGGGGCTGTAGGTCGGAGCTACGTTATTACGGCACTCGAAGCTCATGTAGGGCGCGCTCCCACAGTCCATGTCGGCGCTTTCCACCTCATTTGTGCTCAGGCCAAAGTCCGTGAGTTTGACTAGGACTTTGCGCTCCATGTTGTCTGAAGAGGAAGAAGGTGCGTAGCCGTCTGTGACGATAAAGTTTTCTGGCTTGATATCGCGGTGGAAGACACGCTGGTCATGACATGCGGCGACTGCATCGCACATTTGGGCGAACATGCTTGCGATGAGTCTAAGGCGGGTATGGCTTAGTAACGCAGAGGGGTGAAGAGAGGCGAGAAGAGAAGGGGTAGGAGGAGTCTTGCTCTCTGTGTTCTCGTCTGGGGCATAGTGATCGCGTGCTTGTTCGAGGAAATAAAAGAGATCTTCGCCAGGGACAAACTCCAAGACAAGGAGTAGAAAAGCGTCAGTCTCGAGGGTACGGTGGAGTGTGACAATGTTCGGATGTGGAGAGAGGGATTGGTGTATTGTGACTTCATGTAAGCTGTGCTGTGAGAGCGTCGGAGTCGAGGTTTGCCTTTGAGAGGACTTTGAGAGCAAAATCTCTGCCATAAACGATAGGTGGAGGGGTTGGATCGAGATCAAGGACGCCAACGTGGCCGTCGTCGCTGATGGGCATACGGGAGATGACTTCACGGACAAGATAGACGACTGCATAGCTGCCTGTTCCTAGTCTACGAACGACTTGGAATTCTTTTGCAGTGTTCATATCTATTGGAGCGAGGACGCAAGGACGAACTGGATCGCCCTGGAGAAGTAGGTCCTCGCCTACGAGGTCACCTGGAGCTAAGACATCTTCTATGAGAGATGATACTGATGGAAGAATTGGGCTTGGTGGTAAAGGTGGCGATGGAATAGAAATTGGGGATGGAATAGAAATTGGTAAAACAGGTGGAGTCAGAACGGAAGAAGGTTGTTTGCGAATTTGTTCTTTAGCGAAACGCCTGTTGAAAAGACGAGAATGTGCATGTGGGTAGTCATTATGGGGAATATCTTTAGTACGATTCTGTTTATAGGGAAGAGGAAGGGGAATCGGTTGAGCGGAATACTGCAACATGAGCTCGTGTGGTCGGGGGGATAGTTGTAATGCGTTATTGGAACAACGAAGGACGTCAAAGAAGACGATGTTGACTGCTTGTGATCGCTGTCGTTGTCGTCGTCGCTGTTGTCGTCGTCGTCGTCGTCAGACTGCTCAGAGTCTTCAGAAACCTGCTGGACGGACTTCTGAGAGTATAATATTAGGTGTAATGCATTCAACGTATCTGTCGAGAAGTGAGAATTTGGGAATTTAAGGGTGATGAAACTTACGAGGGATGGAGGGAAGAGCTCAAGTCACTTTGCGACGCAGTTAGGTTTAATAGCCATGTGCTACACTATTTCCATAAATGGTTAACTCTCGAGTTTCGAATCTTTTAAAAACATTTTACAAAGGTCGTGGTAGTAATACTAGTTGAGTAAATCTTACTCATTGACTCAAATCAGCTTTGAACGTCGTGTCCTACGACGTCGAGCTACATGTTATTTTACGTGGATTTACTAGTACCGTAGTTGATCCACATGCTCGCATACCATAATTAGCTTCAGACCATGCGTTCTTGTATCTAACGCCATTTAATCAATTTCATTTCCTGCCTCGTTGCCTTTACTCCAACTCGCTTCCGTTATCCCCCGGCAATACATACACCCCCGCATGCTGCGCTCGAACATTCCAGCAGGCGCATCACTAGCTAGTACACCACCGTGATCCTTAGGGGCAATATATGTCTTATCAATATCGACGTGGCAAATGAAATACTCGTGTATGATGCATGATCACACCATACAACTACTTATTGTAATGCTAATATAGCAATGCCACGCCACCCTCACCCATCATTTCATTCAACTACCCATTGTCTACGTGATCCCTACGTGGTATCTGATATTCCTGTGCACAGTCGAGATCGATCAACCATTAACTTTTCACGGCAACGTTAACCGAAACTCGCGACCCGCAGAGCGCAGTACTGTCACAGGGCATGTCCGCAGCAGCGCCTCAACTGCAGACACTCGGAGATCAAGCACGATGCAACCAACCTACCACCGCAGTCTCGGATGCCGCAACATACCTCGTCTTACTTACCTACTTCCATTCGATTGCCTCGTAATAATATCATCCGACTTATTGGTCTGTTAATTCAGATTCCATGTCCGAACAGCCCTCCGACGCCCCGTGTTAGATCTCCTTTGCAAAACCCCCCCCAAAACTCCATGGATACCAGTATAATCACCTTTCAATATCCGTCATCTCGATATAAAGGAGCCTCGAACTGTCCAAACCCATTCCAGTGTCCGCCTTAAAGACAGTCAATCCAACCACCCGCGGAGCTACCCTTGCAAACAATCTTGTCCCTCGCGAAACCGGGTATTCCTTCTGTAGTATCGGTTTCGTGAGGAATATATCTTATCGTGCAGGGACATCAGCAGGAGCTTATCCATAGCCCCTCTCGCCATAATCGACAATCATAGCACAAACTCGCGCCTCATCAGTTCGTGATCTATTCAAGGCCCAGCCCATACCGCGCGCCGTTCAGCAGGAACCCATGATGACGATCCGGAACACTGACAGAAGACGATTGGAAGCTAAAAATTGAGCCTGGCATTCGAAGCTCAGTCGAACAGGGTCGCCCAAACGCATGATGATAAGTGACTGGATAAAACAACAACATATGTCAACGCAAATGACACGCACGGTATCGTAGGCCGATAAACTCAGTTTCATGTCATGAGGTTTGACCACTAAACGAATGTTTTAGAAATTCCAGCCACCTTCTGCCGTCATTGATTTATTGTATCGACCCTTGGGGGAACATGTGTGGGATGATCTCGTAACCCCATCATGGCACAATCAAATAAGCACGTATGTCAATTCCAGAAATACGTATTATATACTATATAGTAGAAGTTCAAGCTTGTTCCAGTTATATAAATCGAATTCGAACATGTTAGATTTTTTCTTGACCCGTCCGCTCACATGCTGAAATAACACGTCTTCTCTGAGATAATTTAGGTCAGGTGAAGTCTGCCTTTATCAAACAAGGAGGGCAGAGCTGGAATACGCTTTAGATCGTCTGTTTGTATTTTTTTGCCGCGGATCGACCTCATCTACTACATCGCGGAGCTCAGAAAGCCTCGGGTACTAAGCCTTTCCCGTGCCAATGCAACAGCCCTGATCATGAGAAGTTTTCGCAGAGTCCGAGTCCGACAACAGAGGGCCAACAATCAGCCGTCGAGTTGCCAAATATTGGCTCATCTCTGCCACTGGCAGGAAGCACCTCGACCACTCTTAACGCAACTGAAGAAGCAAGGTGACTCATCCAAGCACTAATGGAACGCTGAAGCTGCATGCAAGTACGTGAGCTTCATTTAGAAAAAAAGATTTATGCAACTGAACCTATGTAAGTTATGGTTGACGGGCCGCACTGCTCACGGATCTCCCGGAAAATCTTGATGTGCCGGTCGAGCCTGGGCATTCATGAGGAAAGTAAGTTTGTTCAAGTTGCCTGTTTCTGCATATGCCGGAAACTCGTCCGGACCGACTCGTCGGTATTGCCGGAGCAAAGCATAACGCAACAATGAACCTTCTCGAAGGGTCTGATTCCAACAGAAAGGCCCGCCCTCCGCTCCGACCGGTGGCAATAATATTATACACTAGCTGGTAGTGCGTGCCAAACTACGGAAGCAAAGGACTCCAAGGAACACCGTAACCGTACTACTACGTGAGCTTCTTTCAGATGGAAGAACACCAGCTACGTACAACTTTGAATGACCGCTGAGTCACGGCCCCGGATCTCCCAGAAAATTTTAGGAACTTGTCATTTGCACCCTGACTCGTGGGTTCGAGGAAGCCGGGCGGATGCGGCCTTGTGTGATGCTGGCATGTCTAAGCCAAAACACATTGTTCGTTATTCGGAGAGGTGGTTGGCAGTGCAAGCTTTCCAGGATGCAATCAAGGTTATACAGCATCGAGATAATCGTGGGACGAGATTGTCAGGCAGCATGCATGCTTGAGGCTTGCGGCCGTTGCGAACCCATCGTACCACATCCATTATTTATCCAGATAGCCTCGAAATGTGAGGGAAGTTGCAAAGTGTGTACCACCAGGGAAACACAAGGCAAGCCTGAGATTGACAAACCTGTCAAGTATTGACATACTGCGGGAAGTCATGGGTAGGACTGGCTACATACGTGACCTGCATAGTGCTCACAAACTTCGTGGAAATTATTAGTCTTTCTATGACTTCTTCATTTCCTTTTCCAAACCACCTGTAACTTCAGTCGATCTGGCTAATGCCTATGTTGTCGGATGCGTGTATGTCGGTGAGCAGTTGTTGTGATCGTAGTATCATATAGTTGAAACGCTAGCCTGCGGCTGAGACTTGTTCCTGAATCCTGACTGAAGCTTTGTTCCGTGTGCATTCAATTGAGACCCCGCAGGCACTTGATGACGCTGGGCTGGGCTGGGCCGCCTCAGCCTCAGGCCTCAATGTGTTGTCGCAATGCATATACTCAAATGGCGCTATGTAAGTAAATTGTACCCGTTTTCGATCATGCGGGTGGTTAAATTCAATATTCTCTGACATGCTGCTGTCTCCCTGGAGATGGCAACTCTTCAAATTTTCACGGTGTCCCAGGAAACATCGTGCATGCCTTCGTATGCCCTTGGGTGTTTGATTTTTTGGGAGATTCACAAAAACGAGTGCACACGACATCCCCTGAATGATTCGGATGGATCGGGTCCTTGCGATCAGGCCCCGTGCCTCTGCGCTTTAGAGGAAGCGCCAAATGCAATCACAGGGATGGCCGTATACTATATGCTTCCTTATCCCATTCTGGCGACGTAGCCGCAGTCAGGAAAGTCATTTTCGCCTTCATTTCGGATTGCTTGTAATCAATGGCGAGATAAGGGCGTCATATCGTCGAATTCGGTGTCTAGGGAACTGGTAGATTAGCCCACAATACAACAATAAAGATCGAATGCCTGCCTTCCATATGGTCTGCTAGAGGGCTCAAAGGTCAGCCAGCTTTCATTTCGTTGCGCTGATGAGCATAGCATAGATCATATTCACTAGGTACTCACAAGCACACTTCACTTCGCTCAACCCCATATAGCACTCTCGACGTCATGCAATCGCATGGAAGGGTTTCATTTTCATAAGCCCGTCAGGTGAACTGGGGCCCTGTGCCAGCGCAGCAGACCCTTTATGGTTACCCCATACATCGTAGCCGTATGCGTGACTGAGAAAGTGCCAATCGTTGCTAAGAACCTACTAAGGACGGTATCGTGCTGCGCCTTGTGTCAATAATATCACGAATACGCGGGAACTCCTGTTTGCAATGCAATTGCGCCCATCGAACAACGGCGTCTTTCAACCTTCGTTCCTCACGGAAACACCCGTCAGTGACGAGGTTGATTGTGAGTAGTATCATGAAGGGGCTATAATTTGCTGAACTGACGTTTGGTGAAAGGGCCAGTGGAAGCAAGTCTTCTTTCGATTCATTAGCAAGCTCTTCGCGTCGAATTGTCATCGTCATATAGCCATTTGCACTTCTATTTGCCTTGTTCGTGGAGCGACCTGCATGTCTACAATGTAGCTCGTGTAGCCCGTTAAGTACGCTAATGCGCTCATGTTATAGGTTTAGATTGCCCTAGATCGATATCCTCTGGTATATCATTCTTGGCGATCTCGCACCTGCGTTCTTTGTTAGTGGTGGCAAAAGGGATCATTAACTCGCGTCCGCCACTGTTACCTTCCCTCTTCATTTCCGCCTCAGCCAGGGATTCTGCTATTCAAAACACAGATTGAGCTCAGAACTGGTGCCTAAATCACACTTACTGGGAAAGAAGACATCGATGATCAAAAAACCCATGCGATATCTGATAGTGATACAGAAGCATATCTTCCACTACGATAAGTCCTGGAGGCATTGATATCATCTGCCGCCACCATTAATCTTGGTGGTGACCTCATGTTTTCGTGCTGGCCACCAGGAACCATATCAACGAAGCCCCTTCATTTCTGAGACTCAACAGACTTGACGCCGAAAAGTATTTTCTGAATTGCGAGACTTATTTCGAACGATACGGTCAAGCTCGGCTTTCGTACTAATCGTGTTGTGGAGTAGATTGATGATCGGGCAGCCTGGTGGTGTCCTAGCGTGTGAAGGGACATTTGATAAGTAAATCAACTACCCAGATCTGAGGATTCTGCATACCTTCTTGGTGCTCGTCCCTGAGCTTATCTCCTGGAGATCCCCAGGCTTCCAAGTTTAGATGGTGTCTCGGTAAAATACTAGGGGAACAGCAGTGGTTCGACGAATGAGTGTGACCATGCCGCTAGAAAGATGTGCATATGATCCAAGGAGTGCGAGAATACGACATTCATCACTGAGGAACTTCTATGGTGCCAACTTCTCGTCCAGCCCGGCGCATGTAAGATTAAATTCGGATTGACCTGTTATTTCAAGTTGATATTGCCTGGTGCCTTCTATGACAGACTAGGTGACTGGCGGGAATGAACTAAATGGAGTTTGTCAGTAGTGTACAGCCAGGATGCTAGGTGTTGCTTTAGCAAGTTTCAGGCAATGTTCGTCAGAAAAAGAGTGTATCAGAGAAAGGACATTGATTCAATAGCACAGGGCCGCGGACTTCCAATTGTAGCCTGAGAAAACTCTGAAAGCGCTCAGGTCGATACTTCCCCGACCCGGACCATGATATTAGTAGTGGTATATTATCCTACTCAGGTTCGAACCTGGACAACTAGGGAGATTTCCCACTACAACCGATTACACGCACCAATTGATTCATCAATCAGGTACTCGTACAATTGCTGTTACGCGGCTCTGGCCTTCCTGGGCCCGATAGGCGGAAGTATATGGCCTAAGGCGATGTGGCATACAGCGCGGCAGTCCGAAAGAAACTGACGACGAAATTAATCCGCCACAAAGATAGATGCTATCGAGGTATCTGTCTTGAGGGCATGAGAATTAAAATATTGCAAGACAATATTGTCGGTTGCTAACTTCGTTTATGGTGCACACTCATTACGTCTGACGCGGACCGTCATCGAACAAGCGAAAAGGTATCAGACCCTCCATATAAATGGCGTTTACCATCCGACGGTCGATATGATAAATATCGCATGTAAGCGCACATGTCGGGGACCTGGGATTCAGAGGAACTCGAGGTATCCATGCAGACAGTGCGGTTTTACCGCGAGAGTCCCCTTGTCAGTTCCTGTTTCTTAGTTCATTTTCTTATTAATGATTCCTATATAGTGCACCAGATTACTCGCAGATACCAAAGCGAGTCCTGAGGCCTGATCATTCAGCACACCAGGACGATGACACCATATACTTACTGCAGACAGATTCTATCTCTTACAAACGTCTTGCTGGTTAATTTTAGACAGACCTCGGCGACGAGGACCGTTAACGTCGGCAGTGTTTGAAGCTAAGAGGATACGGATAGTAAGCCCGAGTCCTCCTCGATGTACTGCTTTTACATCGCCCGTACTGGTTGATATTTTTAGGCAAAATGCTTTAAGCTTAGCTCCGATATACCTGATACGCGCTGCGGCGAAAAGATGCTACTACTATTTCCACGTGGGCAAAAAGTTTTCTTCTTTGGCACATCCAGGCCCGCGTTCCAGCACGTTCTCGGTGTCGAGCCGAGCGTTGCTATCTCAGACGAAGGCGAGAGATTTAGTGGAACGATTGCAGCTGATTGCAGGCAGCAACGTTAATGCGGCACGGTCCGTTGTGACTGCGGATTATCGGTCATTATTGATAGGTATCCAGTATCGTAGTTATGAGATTGAATATAGCAGACTTGTCTCATTGCGAGACGCACCGTCGTGGTACTTACTTTTTGACCGTACCTATTTTGTCTGGTGTCGGGTTTAGAAGCAAAGGGAGTTGCCATTCATCCCGCATTGCAGTGCTATGTGAAATAAAAAAACATCAAGCTTGTCAGTCAGGGGTTGGTCAAGTGCCTTCTCTGACCAACTTCTCCTTTTGCACAGAATGACATACAAACGCGCAACGGAAATGAACGGGGCATCTGTATGTGGATGAGCTCGCAAAACCAGAAAGGTCAACATAATCGACGAACATCGCTATCCCAGTTGTAAGCTTCAATCCAACGGCCGTCGACACTTGTCGCCTTCTCTATACAAACGTTGCGAGGATCGAAACAGTAGCAGCTCACAACATACCATACAGGACCTGTCCAAAGTTAACACGTCGTTCCTCGTCTTTCGTTGGGAGCATCCTCGCCCAAAGCCGAACATCGGTTCGTTCGTATTTGGACCCAAATTCAGTGAGTCTAAGCCAAAGTACCTCTCGGATCAGAATTTACCTGGGTCAAGATACCTCTCCTCATCTCCCTGCAAGGATGCGGGTTTGCGTTTAGAACGAAAAGAAGAAACCACATACCAGTAAATGATGATTACCTATGTTCCTGCCAGAGTTGGTGAGATCCATCGCTGAATGTAGTCGAATTGCAAGTACAAATCCTTTGGTATCAAGTAGCCCTGAATTGTATCCTCACTTAACGTAATATGAGGGATCCCTGCATGACCAGAGTAATAAACCATCAACTCTTGATGTGATGATACATACCTGTGATAGTGGTATTACGGGGTTCCAGCTTAGCATGTCTACAAGGATAGCTTCATAATAAGGTAATGAAGGTCTGTCTTTGACGTATGTCGGCCTCGTCGAACTTACTACAACAGTGTTAATTTCAGACTGGGCTTGGCCTGAACTTCTGGATGGAGCGGCTATAAGTGGGACAGGTAAAATATTGAGGCAGTGGAAGAAAGAGTTTGATAGCGCTCACCGATGTGGCCTGAGGCCGTCGCCGCAGCCGTATTGATTGGGAACTCCGTGGTTCAAGGCCATCTTTCTCGCCTATTTGCGCCAAGCAGTCAGACACCATAGATTGTGGAGTAGTCCACGCTTCCTAAATCAAATTAGCTACAATGTTTTTACCTGTAATAAATTGTGAGAGTAGTCACGATCTTCAATTTGGTAAATTCGAAAGGTACATCAAGCACCTTTTAAATCGACTTTCTTGAGTACAATGCATCAATGCATAACGCTTGCACCGGGAAACCAGGCGGCGATAAGTCCAACTGAAGAACCCCCCAGCCTACACTTGATAGAATCAATGTCAACTCATGAAAAGGAAATGTTGAGAGAATAGCCGCTCTCTGAGGAGTTTACCCGTACGTAAGGGTTTTGACCGATTGCGCGACAGCAGAAACAATTATTCTCTGCCGACTGCATTTCGTATCCAAACGTGATCCCCATAATATTTACTGCAATAAAGCTGCTCAGGCATCGGCATATGCTGTACGTGATTACTAGCCCCTGAACGTGCCTCGAAACCTTGAGGGGTCCGGATTCTGCGCAAGTGGATATCACGCTGGCGAAGTGAGGAATCTGCTTTAATACATGATGGAAAACTTATCTTTTATGAGATCCTGGTACTGATTCATAGCGCAACACAATCATGTTCCGCTCCACGATATAGCTGTGAAAAGACATGAGCTGCAGCTCAGATTAGAAAGGAGCATACGATCACTTCCAGTACCCATCAATAGAACACGGATCAGGTCACCTCAAAAAAAGTCTGGTCGATTCTCTGATCACTGGTATATGTAGACCCACCATATATATTCTTCCAGACTGTATATGCCAACAAAGGACTGATATTTATATGGAGGGGGTGCCTGTCGCGGGGAGAGACTTTGGATCGCCTCGTAATGATGAGGGCCAAAAGAAGAGCGGCAGTGCCGCAAAGGAAAACGCAGCGACTAGTGAATACGGATGGGTACGCCGGGATTCAATAACTGAAAAACTCAGATGTGATACTCCTTGAGGCATTCAAAAAAGCAATCCTGACGTCCGACCCGAAATCATTCTACGGGTATTTCCCTCAGCTGTGTGATGCGCCTGGGGTATTTTTACTTCACTGTTACAATTCACAGTTATGATCTGGGGGATAGAAGGATAAAGGATTGATGATTTCAATTGGATCTCCCCCTATGTGATAGTTGCGTGATATTAGATATCCGTGCCAGACGATGAGGATCGTAACGCACCTGACGGAACTGGAGAACTTTCTCCGATTCCCGGTGTTCGTCCTGTGATGAAATATTCGGACAGTAGCTATTTACAGACTTGTGCCTTTCAGCCTTGGATCATATACTTACTATTGTAAGTGGCGGGTGGGGCAAGCGTCGAACAGCTTCACGTCATGAAGCAGACGTTGGCTTTCCTGATGTCCCTTTTCACAGAGAAAATGCATGCAGAAACGCAAACTCGGGGCCTAAAAAGTTGTGTCGGACACGAGATTCAGCAGCCCTGAGGTGGCATGAAGGGCGTGGTGATAGATGAACCCACAAATGCTTCGCACAAGCCTCAAACTCCCAAGTACCATTCTGAAGGAACAAAACGTCCGTTGTCCCCCAGTGGGCATGAAACGTTGTTGTTTGTTGTCGGGACTGCAAATTACAGTGATCACGTAGCGGAGACCCAATAATTCTGCTCAATTTCTTACATGCCTCCCAAAGCTCACCGCGCTGGCGCAACGGGCCTCCCTCGTACACACTCCCGTTCATCGTCGGGAGGCTCCTCCAAAGCAGCACTGAACCTTCACTTCACGCAGAAGGATCCTGCTCCAGCGAAGCAAGCCGAAAGAACGAAGAAAAACGGCTTAGTTCATGATGTACGTCACATCAATACTAACCCCTCAAAAATCTGGCTGAACCGCGTGATCTCTCTCGTTTAGTCGCATTCAAGAAATACTTCGCCGTATCCTCCTCGAGTAAATAGCTCGACACATCTTGCTTCAAGGGAGCAGCTACCAGTTCAAACACAGCGGCATGTACCTCCCTCAAACCAGCGGCAGGCAACGACAACTGGCAAACCTAAAGCTGGATTTACTATCGCTAGCCAAAGTGCGGATGAAGACGATGAGTGGATCTCTAGCGAGAGTGGGGCAGCGACTCCGAGCAGTGTGAGCTCCGACAGTGGCAGGTCCCAAACACCGGTCGAGACGCACAAACATTCGCTCCCCGCGGCCCCGCCCATTGATGAACTCATACATCGACCGGAAACTCCAAGAGCACAACCGCCTTCTATGTCACGGGTGCCTACCATCCGTCCTTCCGATGCACCAGCTCGAGCGTTATCAGCTGTAGCTGTGTCAGCTGCACGTGCATCACCGGCTCCAGCACTAGCCACATCCAGACATCCAGTGAAACAGTCTAATCTCTCTCAGCACCCTTCTCCTGAGCGCCGTATCATGGAGACTCGCTCAGAGAACACTTCGCCTATTCATCGTTCACGTCCGCACAAACGCCAGTCAGTCACACGCCCACCATCTACTCATTCGACAACAAGCAGAAATGATGCACCATTACGCCCACATCCACTTATCCGAGGTCAGTCATATGGCCATGCAGCTCCAGTGACACCACGGATGGTGCCTCTCGCTCCACTCACCATCACATCTGAAGCTGCTCCAGCGCACATATCCGGTACTCAGACCTATGATACGGAGGATAGAATATGCACTTCGCCATCTAGTATCAAGACTGCGCATGCTCTACCACCTAATCGCAGGACATCAGTATCATCCGCACGTTCGGTGGTCACTCTTCCGAGTCAAGCACATATCCAACCACTCCAATTCAAGGTTGTACACGACCGCACTCGTACCCTGTCATCCATGTCATCAACTTCATCGAGCTCTGTACAAGCGTTGTCATCACTTGCACAACTTCCCACCACCCGTCCGTCAACACCGCAATATACCTCGCATTTTCCTGCAGCTAGTCTGTACACCAACCTTGAAACTGTGCACCCACTACTCCCACCACCCTACCTTAGTGCACACGTGTCCATCCTTGCGCACCGAAGTCCGTTGAGGGAGTCGTATGATAGAGTTATTGCCGCCAAGGAGCAACAACGACGCGGAGAGAGTGTTTGAGGCGCCCATACTGGTGCTTTTGAATCTTAATTGACTGGTGGAATGTCCGTGACACGTCTCCTCGTTCACCCTCATTTATTAAACTGAGCGATATTTCAGATCTATACATACCATTATTATCAATTTTTCTTTCGTCATTGCACCCGACTTGTGTACCGTTGTGGACAATATGATACCATTTACTGTCCCAGTGTACTCAAAAGTTATCATTTGACGTCTCAAAGTCTTTATTTCTTTAGAGTCATGGCTATGTGATGATCTCTTGCCATTGCAACAGCGTTGAACCTGAGTGCTCTTAGTATTACAAGGCAATCTGAATCCTATGTAGAACACTTAGCCTGAGTACTAGTCATCTCCCTCGAAGATAGTAGCATAGTCCGATGTTCGTTCTTTCCATTTCTTCCGCTCCGATCACCCAAATACGCAAAGGAATGTTAGAGCCGCATACTCAAAACTTGGAAAACGTGATCGTCGCGCGTCCCACACTCACTGCGCAGAAAAAAGTGATGTCCGGTCTCCGCTCCCAGTTCGAGTCCAAGAGCCACTCCAAAGGCTCTAACGGCTCCAAAAACCCCGTCGATGCAGAGCTCAGAGCAAAATCGCCTCGCAATTCCAACGACATGGAACTCGGTATACGCGTACGCGTCGAGCGCTCGGTGATAGTGTTTACAGGGAGGAATCTAAACAATCTAGCTCATGGGTCAAATGAATGTGAGGCACTGGCGCCTAACAAGAAGGAACGACTATTTGCTACGGGATGATACCCAATATACGATATTAATGTGTATATATCCACCCGGTGCTACTATCATAATCTCAGTCCCCATTCACCGTGACAACAAAAATGCGCATATATATTTGGTGATCTGTTCAACTCGACAACGCCGGATCCAGGACCAAGAGTGATATCATGGACACGGACGACACATCGGTTGTGAAGGAGCTCGGAGATACAGCCTTGAACGATGATATGTTTCTCAGCGGTAGGTAGTGGTGTCCTCGAGAGGCGAGGATGATCTTCAGGATAGAAGCAGCGGATGCGCGCGAGTTGTTGCGGCTTGATACCATACTGCATGATGTCCATGTCGAAAGCACGACTGTTGATGAGGTCAGAAGAGCCTCTGGAAACTTTGCCGACAACAATGAGAGTAGGGACGGCTCTGCCACTATCTGTAGGCTGCATCTCCTAAACGTTATCAAGGAGTTGTATCAGCGAGTCAACAACAACCATATGCGACGCACGTCGACACAATACAGTTCGAGAGAAAGGTGTTCATCTGCCGTGCTGGTAATGACGCGAGCATTGATGAAATAATTGCCATCTTCAGGTTGCGCTGTGGTGCCACCGAAAGTGAAAACAGAGACGAGAAGGTCTCCGATATCATCGTCGGCGTCAAGAGAGAGAGGCACAAATCCATGCATCTTCCAGTACCTTTTTTTGGGTTCCAATGTGTAGGGAGTAGCGTTTTTAATGCCGACGACACCGTGAAAAGTGCATGCGGATGCCATGATGGTAGGTCAATAGTAGCAAGTTAGGGGAGAGATCAGTGCGTCTGAGATTCAAAAGCAGGGAATAGGAGACAGGGAGATCGCAAGGGCAGGATTAGCGAATGGCGCTCAGCTGGAGCGCGCACGTGGGGTTGACGCGAATTGGCTCCGCGGGATCAAACGCTCCGTGCTTATTAGAAAGTAGTAGGCTACAATGTTAATGTAAGTAGTATGGAAAGCAGGACAGCGGCCGTGCTCGTTTTGTCACTGTCACATTACCCATAATAAGTAAGCCCAACATCAGGACACCGTGCACCGTAAGAGTGCCATTTAGATATCTGCTGCTACAATATTTACCACTCATTTCTTTCGTTCTCGTCCTCCCCATCAGAAAACCAGGCAACTAACACCTCCTCTTCAGTAACGTCAGGGAGCAAATATGTGTCCGGTTCATCCTCTGCAGACTACGAGTGCACCAGATCCTCAGTCCGAAATGGATTATTCTGACAGGCCTGTCTTTTTGCCTGGCGCTTGGCGGGGGAAAACCTGAGGACTGTTGGCCATACATATTCCCAGCTTTTTCTCTAAGGAGCGAGGGGTCATGCTGACGTATACGCACACAAAGTAAGTCCAATTGTCATGGTTTCATTAACACGTTCCAATCGCTGTAATTACAACATTGCTAGCCACACCTTCGTCCATAACACTGTCTTTAACAGCGGTCTTCAATTTGGATCAGCAATTGGTCTCGCTGGTGTCAGCTCAATAGAGACATCCGTGGAGGCCATCCATGGGGGCTCACATGAGTATAAAGGATGAGCCGCAGTATTTTGGTTCCTCTTGACAGTTGTCTCTATTGAATATTCAGTTCATTTCAGTGTCAATAATCCATGACCGCAGCACGGACCACACACCCCAACCAGAACACAACGACCCCAGAAATCCTGCTCGACGGAGCACGGACTCTGACGAAAAGCTTAACGACACGAACGTGATCATGATCGAAAAAGCTGACCTGGCGAATCTGCCGATGTAGGTTCTTTTTGATAACTGTTCCTTTAGACAACCATTTCCATTTATGACACATTTCTTATTTACTATTATCCCGTTAACGACCACACTGTGATGACCTGCAGGGTAGATATGTTTTTTATTTTATTATGAGAGGTAGGATAGATTTCATGCTGTATTTTAGTTAGACCCGCTACCCATCGGGTATATCAGTAGACTGTATTGCACATGTATGAGAGACATACGATTGATGTACTGATCAGATCACAGTTAGGATTTGACGCCGAACTTAGGTTAACCAGGTTGCTAAACTTATTCACCATCCAGATATTGGCCCTGGAACAAATCGATGAACATGCATCAACACAGACAGGAACACAAAAGGTACCGGAAGTCGCTCATCCAGACCACCTTCTTGAATGTAATCTCTGTTAGTATCAACAACGCGATGGTCTCAAAGACAAGCTCTTCGCTCTCAGCTATCTTCGTGAGATCTAGTTCGCGGCCGTAAAGGTAAAATTGCCAGCCGTCCTCACCAATTTCATCTGTTGCACACAATGAGAGGCTGCATACCGTCAATATACACATCTCCAAGCCTTAAGTGAACATACCCTTGTTTGTTAAAGTTTCCAAACAGGTGCCAATGCTTCAAGACTGGTTTAGAAACAGCACATATCACTCTATCGAGGCCAACACCCGTCAAACGAATATCCCCAGTCACAATCTGGATATCGTCTCTAGTCTCACCCAAAAATGTGAGTCCAAGTTGCTTGTGCACTATGCCTGCAAAAACACCTTCAGTCCCGTTCATCCAAGGGATTAAACTGCGCCTCACTTTTAGCACCGTCAGCGCCGATGATCCACTTGCTATCAAAAGTCTCTGATATGCCGTTCTTTGCTGAATAGCAGTGACGCCCTCGTCGCACTGTTCGAATGAGTGCAGTTCGGTGCCCATATCAACAGAACAAGAAAACAGTGTCGCAGAATCACATCTAGGAGCTGTTGACCCATCAATTTGAAGGCATGCTGAAAATTGAATCAACATGCAGGTTTGATTAAGCGACGGTGTTATGCACGAATGGTATTGCTGGAGTAGGTTCCAGATGCGGGACAATCGGTGAGTATTTCAAAGGTTCCAACGTCCCAGGCTTGTATGAACGGCCGGGAGGGCTACTATTGACTTCTGAAACGTTCAGAAAGTAGTAGACTTCGAGGGAGCGTGACTACATAGAGCATCCATTCAATGAGATCACGGGATGTGACAAGTAGATGTACGACAAACCCATATTCCAGCACCACGCTGTCCGATGCGGGGGTGGTGGTCTTTATCGATGATGCGGACTGGGATTCCGTTTTGAAAGAGCGTCAACGCAGGTCACAGGATGAGTAATATCATAGGTCTCGGTGGGAAAGGAGACTTACCAGTGCGGTAGCATAGACAACTGACGAGAATATTTGGGATGAGGGTCGAGCGACGAGAAGAAATGAGGTCGGTATATAGTTGATCGATCGTTGGCCGTGGTAGGGCCTGAAAAAGACATATGAAAGTTAGTAGGACCGCTCAGGAATGATACCTGTGACTATCCACATAGTAGGCTCCACGGCCGTACACCAAGTAACTCCCATCTCGAGAGAATAACTTGTGATCCTGTTGGTGAATTGGATGGCTGACACTGGCTTATAGGACCTTGCCCGTCCCGCGGCTGTACGATGTTTCTTACTAGTAAGCTCCGCACGCTAGCTAGTAAACGTCAATATCCGCTCGAATGTCCCGTTGGTTACTACTGTTTATTACAAATACTCGACGTCCTGCTTTCCATAAAGTAGAACTTCAAACAATGTGACGTGTCAGTCACACACTGCTTCCGCGCGTTCACAAACCCTGTCCAGTGTCATTGCCAGGGCACAACTCGCCACGCAGTCTAATTCTCATTCCACCGTTCTCTCCAGCGATAGCTACGCTTTCAAAAATACCAGAAGTTCTCGCATAAAACACTTTGAATTCTGGAGACATGTGGTTGTCTGATGCGCAAAGTCAGTTTACCCAAGCTCTGTCTGCTCTGGTTGTTGAATGAGAATCATGATCTTAGAAATTGGCGTGGCCCTTACGACCTTCGGGATACTATTCATGTTCCTTGGTGTCATGTTGTTCTTCGACGCTGCTTTGCTAGCGCTAGGAAATGTATATAACCCCAGTTCCCGTCTTCCATTTTTTGCTCACACCAAGCTCTTGCACAGATGCTCTTCTTATCCGGTCTTACCTTGATTATTGGCCCTCAGAAGACATTCTACTTCTTTGCGCGAAAGCAAAAGCTTCGAGGAACAGCATGCTTCATTGGCGGTATTCTGCTCGTGTTCATGAAGTATGCATTCATTGGAATGATTGTTGAGATATTTGGCTTCTTAAACCTGTTTGGGTACGTGGAGCATTTCATAACGAAGAATTGAACCTGATGGCTAGGTTCAGTGACTTCTTCCCCGTGGTCGTGACATTCCTGCGTCAATTGCCATTCATTGGCAACCTATTGTCATTGCCATACATTCGACCTGTAAGTGTCATTTATCAACGTTTGAGTTAAACTAACCGGAGCAGATCGTGGATCGTATAGCGGGTTCAAGGACGTCGGCTGTGTGACACAGCGAACAAGCTCACCCAACATTATATACCCATTCAGAATTACAGCGGCATTTACAAATGGTTATCTCAATACATGTCCATGAGATAATTCCTGAGCGGCATTGAATGTCTTATACTGATTAAGCGGGTCACGGTTATACTCTTCCTCCATCATGGTCGAATTTCTCATGTGACCGCAATCAATTCGTCACTGGATGTTCTCTTTTCACTGTTCGAGCGTGCTTCAGCGTCATCGGGGAGCGAGTCGGTTAGACGGAAATCAGCTACACGCATGGCGGACAGCTTATCACGGTTGCGGAATGCGAATCCGCCCTTCCTCGTCTGATCAACAATACCGCTGGATAGAGGTTAGGACAATGTGGGCTTACTTACATGGCATGAATGGTTGCGGAAGTTATCGAAGGTGTCGGTGAGAACTGATCTTCCGTGCCAAGATTACTCTTACATGAATAGGATATGAAGTGTTTTGCCGGAGCCAGCAACTGCGAGACAGACCTTGAATTCAAGATATTATAGTGTGGCTCGAGCATAGATACTGACATGGACAGACCACTGTGACTGGCCACCATATACGGTTCCAAGGCCGGTCGCATTAGCACCAGTGAAAAACCAGCTTGAAGCAATCAAATGGCGAGGGCTTGGAATCTGACTGGATCTGACTAGGTGTGCCAAGTATAGCTAGTTATGTAATAAGTGACTTATAAGAACAGATAAGCGCACAATCTTAATGAAGACCAGCCATTTCCTACATATCCTCAGCTCGGAGTCCTTGCAATTCCATTATTATATCACCTGCATTTTGCAGGCACATACTATGACTCGCATGCGCGCGGAGGATTCTCAGCTCATCGATGATCTACACCGACTCTCAAAGAAGTCGCCCAAGCTAGTACGATCAACGGTGTATACCGCGCCGTCGGATCCTTCCATCTCTGTTCGAAGCTGGAAGATGAACGAGTTCAAGTATTATGACGTTCCATCGCCATTTCCAACGCTAGCGAGAGGTCTATTCAGCCGTGAACTTCCATGTGGAGATGACCCTAATGGAGAGCAAAAGTACCAAATCGTAGTTCGAGGCTATGATAAGTTTTTCAACATCGGTGAGGTCCCGTGGACCGATGTGAGTTGTCTCCATGTCAAACCGCCTGACATCGTCTCATTGGAATTCGTTCGCAGTGGTCAACACTCTCCTTACACACAGGACCCACATATACGCTATCACTCAAATCTAACGGATGCATCATATTTGTTGCTTCCCTTTCTCCTTCGAAGCTGATCGTCACGTCCAAACATGCGCTGGGACCGATGCAAGGGGTGTCAGAAACACATTCCGAGGTTGGCCATCGGTGGCTCGAGAAGCACTTGGAAGAAAAGGGCAAAACCAAGGAACAGCTGGCATCGAGATTGTGGGATAAGCAGTGGACAGCCATCGCTGAGGTATGTGATGCATACAAGCAAACAAAAGTTCTAGAACTAACTGCTACTTCACAGCTTTGCGACGACAGCTTCGAGGAGCATATACTTCCTTATTCTGCCGAGAAGTCGGGTCTACATCTCCACGGAATAAACGAGACTTCGAAGGAATTTCATACTATGCCTACAGAAACGGTCGACGCATTCGCAGAAGAATGGGGGTTTATAAAGACGCCTGTCATCACCCTGAACTCGATTTCAGAGGTGAAATCCGTCACCGACGATATTGCGAAAACTGGGAAATGGAACGGCGAAGCACTTGAGGGATTCGTAGTCCGTACGCACATCATCGATCCAAAGCAGGGCTCTACCACTCGCAATGCGCGTCCTCCTTACCCAACAGGATCCTCTTTCTTTTTCAAAGTAAAGTTTGATGAACCGTACATGATGTATCGCGACTGGCGGGAAGTCACCAAAATTCTGTTGTCAACACAAGGATCGCTCAACGACGCCAAATTGCCGAAGTCGAAGTTGAAGCGAAAGGATACCCACCTTTATGTCGAATGGGTAAAGAAGGAAATAAGGCATAATCCTGGTGCGTTTTCGGAATATTTGAAAGGCAAAGGCATCATCGCCACTCGCGAGAGATTCTTGAAATGGATGGAGACCGGCGAAGGGAAGAAGGGGTTGGCCGTACAAAATGCGGCGCCACCAACCACCAAGGAGTTTGAGAAGACGATAATTTTGCCTGTTGCCATTCCCGGGTGTGGTGAGCACCCAATTTCTGTCTCGTGCCTTTCTTTACAGTTTCTGCTTCACAGGCAAGACCGCTGTTTCCGTTGCCCTCACTTCTCTATTCGATTTCGGACACACCCAGAGTGACGATATACAAGCGAAAAAATCTGCTCCCGCGTTCATCAGGAATGTTGTCAACCTCTTGGAGCACCATGATACTGTTATAGCCGACAAGTATGGATCATGCTGGATCTCGTGATCGCCCTCGTACTAACCTGCTGCAGGAACAACCACCTCAAGCAACATCGCGACTCCCTACGCGAAGCCGTTGCCAAAATGGACCCCCCTGTTCGTCTCCTCGCGTTGAATTGGTCACTCGATCGGCCTCAAGCAACAATCCATCGGATATGTGGTGACAGAGTTTTTGCGCGTGGTGATAAGCACCAGAAACTTCGTGCTGACACCCTGGCTAAGGCGCACGAAGACGTCATATGGCAGTTTATCCGTGCTTCAGAGGAGCTTTCCGACGAAGAGGTAGACGTGAGGATAGAAATGGACATCGAAGATACCCTTGAGAAAACTGTAGACCGTGCAGTCGCTGCCTGCGTCAGCATCCTTGGTCTTCGACAGCCAAGTGCAGATGAGATCGACGAGGCCGTGTGCAAGGCCCGTAACTACATGCCTCAGACAAAAAAGCCTCAAGAAGAGAAGAAGAAAAAGAAAGATGAAGAACCCATGCCGCGCTACTTCGGACTCCTGCCAGAAGTTGATCTCATTGATGTCATCGGGAAACAAATGGAAAACGCATCGGACGTACCAGAAAATGGGAAAACGTTCTGGAATGCCCTCGTTGCGGGACATCGTGTCACCGTGCGCCCCCATATCACTATAGTGCACATCAAATCCCTCCCCGATGCCATTGAGCTTTGGGAGCGGTGCTCACAACTCCATAAAATGGCACTTCCTCCCTCGTTCACCTTCACTCTCGGTCATTTGGTCTGGAACGAACGAATTATGGCCATTGCTGTGGATGACTTCGAGCTCGACGGTTCACCGGACAATCACTCTTCTGCAGATCAGGAAGGGTGTGAGTTTGTGTCGAAACTGTCGGAGGAAAACCGAAATGCTTTGCACATAACGGTTGGAACAAGCGATCCTGAGGTACTCCCTTTTGAAGCGAAGGCTCTTGTGGAAGTATGGCGCTTTGGGAAGAGATCAGGAATCGGCTCACTCGAACTTGAAGGGCTGACAGCGCGAGGAAGAATCAAAGGACTGTTTAATTGAAGATGCTGTGGTCTTGTTTCTTTTAGTGATAGCCTCATGGCCATTTGTACAACGTATACCCCCTCATCAATCCGCCATTGATTAAATTGTATCAACGCCAATTCAATAATACACACAACTGAGAACTCAGCGCTAAGTTACAGTCCACGTTCAGTTTGCATGCCGTTTCTTCAGCGTGAACGCCGTCTTCGAACATCATAGGAAAGGGGCGGGGTAGAACTGAGGCTGGAGACAAGGATTTGGTGGTGGGGAGCGGAAATATTGATCCATATCAGATTAATCGAATTCTGATGGAGGCAGAGGCGAGAACAGCGATTCCGGTCCTGGTTCTAGTGACAGTTCCAACGTGGCCGTTGCTGTTGGTTTCAGTGTAACATCAGGTACCTTCGCCCTCCCACTCCCCAATCCCATACATCCTTGTCCTCCTTGCCTTAACACCAGGTCTCTTACCTACCACCTGCTCCTTACTCACTGTACCGGGAAATGAGCGGGCGAGCACGTATAAGGTGATAATGTGTGGTTCAACTGAGATGGGGTGTACAACCCCGAGATACGTGAACTGACGGGCCAGTTTGACAAGGTTGATGGCTCATACTTCTTGCTTGTGGGGACAAATGCACATATGGAGTTGCGTCCTTAGACTGGTGACCAGCCCGTCTATTTGCGTCCTGCCTGTCTGCGAGACTTGCTGAATTAAACACCCCGAAATGTGAATCCGCACGCCAAGATGTTGAGGGACTTCCGGATGCAAAAATCTGGGACACATTTACCCTAATTGACCGTTAAATTCGTCAAATTTACAAGTAAATTACTAATTAAAATTAGTTGACTTGCAAATTTACGCTACATGGCCTCGAGGATGGCAGTGTTAATTTGGGCTCAGGACACTAACTATTCCACGGCCATGTCTTATGGTCATCTTCGAATCTTTTGAATGCTGGCTGGCTTGCAAACGACAGCAGTCAACACACAGAAATGTCGTTCACATTCGAATGGCCACGCTTTTCCGACCAGTTTCATACAGATGCTATCCAGATGCTCAATAACGCCCTCAACAAGGGTAACAAACCGCCAGTCATCGCTGACAAGATTGAAGTCGTAGAACTTGAAATGGGAACGCAGGTGGGTTCTGCACGGTTCAAACTTCACCGTACCTTGCACCTCACTCATACCACCTGACAGCCACCAGAACTCGAAATTCGGGATATCGGTGACTTGACAATGGACCACTTTCGCGGTATATTTCGTTTCACTTACGCAGGAGACGCACATATCGTACTCAAGACCAAAGTGCAGGTGTTTAGTGCTGCTACTTGTATCCCCTTCTTTCCATCATATTAACAATTTCTTCATCAGGCAAATCCCTTGAATCACAAGCAACCTGATATACATATCATGACAGGCTCTCGAGGCATGCTGGCTGCCAAAGACCCTCTTGTAGTTCCAATGCTCCTCCGCCTCTCCCACTTCAAACTCAACTCTTATGTCGTCCTAGTCGTCTCAAAGCAAAAAGGCATCACACTCGTATTCAAGACAGATCCCCTCCAGAACGTAGATATAAATAGCACATTCGACTCCATCGCTGTAATCCAGAAGTTCATCCAACGCGAGATCGAAGGCCAGCTTAGGCAGATGTTCAGGGAGGATCTACCGGGAATCATACATCGTCTCAGTCAACAGTGGGTAAAAGCCAAAGTAGAGACGCCATATCTCGACAAGCGAGCACCTATATCGCGACCCCGAGCTTTCGATGTTGTTTCTACACCTGACCTTACATACATATCACCTGGCATTTCTGGTATCGGGTTACACATGCTCCGCCAACAATCCCTTGGCTCCCTCTCTTACGGTCGCGCACACTCGATATCGGGTGCTTCCGTATCAAGTTCAGCTCGTAGAAGTATCCGAACTTCCCCCACTCCCTCTCACATGAGTCCGCCAGTATCAGACCCATCTTCCTCCAATCCCGAGCAAGAAATCTTTGACCCAACATACGGCCTCCGTCCAGAAGGGCTCCCAACAAAGAGCGTCTTCTCATC